ATGGCTACCAACTTTTCAAAAGAGATGGGCAAGGCAGGAAAGGCAGTGTTTATGTTAATAAAAAATGTGAATGTCTGGAAATTAATGACGGTGATGATAGGGTTGGGAGCTTATGGATCAGAATCAAAGGGAAGGCCAATAAGACTGACATTGTTGTGGGAGTCTGCTACAGGCCACCCAACCAGAATGAACAGGTGGACAAGACACTTTATAGACAGTTGGATAGGGATAGCAAGACCTCACCCTTTGTTCTTGTGGGGGACTCAACTTCCCAGACATCTGAAAGGGAACAGTCCCAGAGGTTCCTAGAGTGTGTGGCAGATAACTTCCTGACACAGCTGGTGAAGGAGCCAACAGGGGAAGCAAACTCCTGGACTGCTGCTTCTTTACAGATAAGGTCTTGTGGGGGATGTAAAGGTTGGAGGCCATCTGGGGCAAAGGGATCATGAAAGGATAGATGTGGTGATGCTTGTTGAAGTATGGAGGGGTGTCAGCAGACCTGCTACCTTGGACTTCTGAAGGGCAGACTTTGGTCTCTCAGACCATGGTTGAGAGAGTTCCTTAGAAGGTAGTTTTGGGGGGCATGGCAGCTCAGGAAGGCTGGAAATACTTTATGGAAGTTATTTTAAAGGTGCAGGAGCTGAGCATCCTCAAGTCACAGAAGATGATCTGATGGGAAAGGAGACCAGCCTGGCTGAACAGAGACCTTTGGCTGGAACTCAGGAACAAAAGGAAAGTTTATGGTCTTTGGAAGAGAGGGCAAGCAGCTTACAAGGGCTACAAATATGCAATGAAGCTGTGCAGGCAGAAAATTAGGAAGGCCGAAGCCCAGCTAGAGATGAACTTGGCCACTAAGGTGAAAGACAACAATAAATATTTCTATAAATACATCAACGGTAAGAGGAGGGCTAGGGAGAATCTCCATCCCTTGTTGGATGCAGAGGGAAACATGGTGACAAAGGATAAGGCTGAGGTACTTAATGCCTTCTTTGCCTCGGTTTTTAATAGTAAGACTAGTTGTTCCCTGGTTGCACAGCTCCTTGTGCTGGAAGGTAGGGATGGGGAACAGAATGGGCCATACATAATCCATGATGAATTGGTTTTGGACTTGCTTTGAAAGCTGAACACTCACAAGTCCATGGGGCCAGATGGATTGCACCCAAGAGTGCTGATGGCATTGGCAGATATGACAGACAGTGGCTTGGCAACCATCCTTCAACAGTCCTGGCTAACCGGGGATGTCCTGGTGGACTAGAGACTGACAAATGTGATGCCCATCTTCGAAAAGGGCTGGAAAGATGATCCTGGTAGCTGCAGTCTTAGATTCACCTCAGTACCAGGGAAGGTTATGGAATAGATAATCTTGGGAACCATTGTGGATTAATTAAGGGTCAACCAGGGGATCAGGCCCTGTTGGCATGGGTTCATGAATGGTAGATCCTGCTTGATAAACTTGAGTTCATTCTATACAAGGTGATGTGCTTAGTGAATGAAAGTAAGGCTGTTGAAGTGGTCTACCTGGACTTCAGTAAAGCTTTTAACACTGTCCCCCACAACATCCCCATAGGGAAACTGGCTGCCCATGGTTTGGATGGGCATATGCTCTGCTGGGTGAAACACTGGCTGGATGGCCAGGGCCAAAGAGTTGTGGTCAATGAAGTTAAATCCTGTTGGTGGCCAGTCACAAGTGCTGTCCCCCAGGGCTCAGTACAGGGGCCACTCCTATTTAACACTTCATTAATGATCTTGATGAGGGGATTGAGTATAGCCTCACTAAGTATGCAGACAACACCAAGTTGGGAAGGAGCACTGATCTGCCAGAGGCACTACAGAGGGACCTGGATAGGCTGTATCGATGGGTAAAGGTAAACTGTGAGTTTCAATAGGGCCAAGTGTCAGGTCCTGCGTTTTGGTCACAGCAACCCTACAGGCCTGGGGAGGAGTGGCTGGAAAGCTGCCTGACAGAAAGATACCTTGGTGTACTGATGGACAGTTGGTTGAGTATGAACCAGCAGTGTGCCCAGTGGCCAAGAAGGCCAGTGGCATCCTGGCTTGTATCAGGAATTGTGTGGTGAGCAGGACTAGGGAAGTCATCCTGCTCCTGTACTCGGCCCCATGCCGAGTAATGTGTTCAGTTTTGGGCACCTCAGTACAGAAGGGTCACTGAGATGCTGGAGCAGGTCCGAAGAAGGGCAACCAAGGCTTGTGAAGAGCTTGGAGAATATGCCCTATGAGGAGCCACTAAAGGAACTGGGGCTGTTTTAGTCTGGGGAAAAGGAGGCTGAGGGGAGACCTTACTGTTCTCTTCCAATACCTGAAAGGGGATTGCAGTGAGAGCGGAGTTGGTCTCTTCTCACTGATGACAGGACGAGGGGAAATGGCCTCAAGTTGTGCCAGGGCAAGCTTAGGTTGGATATCGGGGAAAAATTTCTTTACAAAAAGAGTTGTTAAGCACTTGTTGAGTTGTACTAGGCTCCTATTACTGAGTTGTAATAGGCTCCCCAGGGAGGTGGTTGAGTCACCATCCCTGGATGTGTTTAAGACTGTTTGGATGTGGAGCTCAGGGACACGATTTAGTGGTGGGTTGTTAGGGTAGTGTGGTCGAACTTGATGATCTTTGATCTTCGCCAACCTGATCAATTCTGATTCCATGATCTTAGTGACCTTTTATGATGGAGTCACTGCATCAGCGGACAAGGGAAGAGCTATTGATGTAATCTATCTGGACTTCAGTAAGGCTTTTGACATAGTACCCCACAACAACCTTCTCTCCAAATTTGAAATGTGGACTGTTCAATGGATGAAGAACTGGCTGCAGGATCAAGTTCAGTGTGTGGTGGCTGAGATGAAGATCAGTAATGAGTGTTGTTCCGCAGGGGTCAGTGCTGGAGCTGATACTCTTTAATATCTTCATCAGTGACATTGACAGTGGGGTTGAGTGTGCCCTTAGCAAATTTGCTGATGACACCAAGCTCTGGGGTGCAGTTGATGCACCAGGGGGATGGGATGCCACCCCATGGGACTCAGGCTTGAGCAGTGGGACCAGGTGAACCACATGAAGTTTAACAAATCAAAATGCATGGTCTTGTGCTTGGGTCAAGGCAACTCCCACTACCAACACAAGCTAGGGGATGAATGGATTGAGTGCATCTCTGCTGAGAAAGAGCTGGGAGATACTGATGGGTGGCAGCTGGACATGAGCCAGCAATGTGCCCTTGCAGCCAGAATGCCAGCCATATTCTGGGCTGCATCAAAAGAAGAGTGGCCAGCAGGAGGAGAAAGGTGATCCTGCTCCTCTGCTGTGTGCTGCTGAGGCCTCACCTGGTAAACTGTGTCCAGATATGGAGTCCTCAGTACAGGAGAGACATAGACCTGGAGCATGTCCAGAGGAGGACCACAAAAATGATCCAAGGGATGGAACACCTCCCTGATGAGGACAGGCTGAGAGAACTAGGGCTGTTCAGCCTGGAGAAGAGAATGCTCCGAAGTGACCCAATAATGGCCTTTCAGTATCTAAAGAGGAACTACAGGAAAGAAGGGGGACAGACTCTTTAGCAGAGTCTGTGGTGACAGAATGAGGGAAAATGGTTTCAAGCTTAAAGAGGGTTGGGTTAGGTTAGATATAGGGAAAAGGTCTTTTGCAGTGAGGGTAGTGAGATACTGGAACAGCTGCCCACAGGTGTGGTTGATACCCTGTCCCTGGAGACTTTTAAGGTGAGCTTGAATCAGGCCCTGGGCAACCTGATCTAGCTGTGCATGTCTGTGTTCATTGCAGGGGAGCTGGACTAGATAACACTGAGAGGACCCTTCCTCCTCTAAGGGTTCGATGGTTCTGTGAGAAGGTGTGTCAGAAGCACAACAGGGCATTGCACTGTGTTGCACATACAATTCCCAGTTTAATTACATAGTAGGAATGACAGATGTAGAAATAGCCAGGCAGTTCATGGTCACCTCACTGTGATGCAGGAAAGGCAATGCCTTTCCTATTCAGCATGCTCCGGGGGAGGACAAGGCATATTCTGACAGAAGCCATTCACACTAACACCATTTGAGGAGAAGCATTTTGCTGCAGGAACAAGGTAACCACTTTTATGCCAGTACTGACCTGGCCAGTTCAGCTTCTCCAGCGCATTTAACTTCATTCTTTTTTTGTTTGGAAATTCTTGTCATGCCAACAGCTCGTGCTTAAGGATGGTGATGTGCTTGAACGTTTGTAGTAGTGAGAAGGAGCTCATGCCAGAAGTGCATTAGCAGAACAGAGATTAAGTATGTAGTGAATTGTGTAGATCATGACAGGATATTGTAAATAAGGCTGTGGAACAGGCCTGCACTGTCATGTATTTTGTATGTCCCCTCTATCACAGAGGAAGCTTCTTTGAAATTACTGAGATAAAGACTTAAACATTTTATTAGAACAGGCCCTTTGCCTGCCAGCGCAGGTTATGAATCAAAAATCAGAGTTCAGGGACTTAAAAATACAGCATAAAACCCACAAAAAACAGCTACACAATGCTTAAAAGCACTGCTGAAACAAGTCTGGAACCAATTTTTCTATGAAAATGTTCTTCTATAAAAGTTCCATGATCTGAAAGCCATCTGGGCCTCAGAGGTTTAGAAATAAATGGAACATCCTGCTGGAACACTTTCAGGCTGCAACAGCTCTCCTGCAGGCCTGCAGAGCCATGGAACAGCAGACTTAGAAACTGTCAGACAAGGGCTTGGTACAACCTGTCATGGTCAGTGTCATAGCAATCTACAGGATGGGGAGGGTTGAATGTCCAGGAGCAGGAATGTCATACCTGGAGGAACGGAGAAAACCTTTTTTTGGTAGACCAAATTTGATTTTTTTTTTTTTTTTTTTCTTTAATACATTTTAAGGCATACCTTTGAAACTGCTAAGGAGTCTGCAATATTAAAATAGCTCTGGAATGAGTAAGTTACTGAGCAGAATACTGATGAAGTGGTCAGAGAGGCACAGAACTTAACGCTTAGCATATGGGCCTGCTGATTATTCTCATCAGAAATAGAAGAACACAGGTTTTTCTTCATCAAGGGGAAAGTTACACTAGAAGTTGCTAGTTTAATGTTTTTGTAACACACCACCTCTTCTGTACTCTGCTCTGTTCTTCTGTATTCGTTTTGTATTCTGCCATCTGGGAATGGAAGGCAGTCAAGAATGTTGTTGCAGAGTTTTCTGTGCTGTGTAAAGTTAATTAAGAACAGGGAATTTTCTACTCTTTATTCATTTCAATTTTTGCTTCTCCGTGGAAGGTGGGGAAGAAAACTGCATGTTCAGGCAAGAATTCTGTTTTTGAAATAAATTACTTCTCTGCTTGTAAATAAAATAAAAAACTTTCTAATTTGGCATTAGAAATGTTGCTTAATTTTTACAATTTGAGTTAGAAGTGCTGACAGAATGACAGCGTGTAAATATAACACATCGGGGTTGTTGCAGAATTAGTGCTGATCAGTACTGTGCTAGATAAAGAGCAGATGTAGGTGACCAAATGCAGTTTTGCCCAATATGAAGTTGTTTAGGCTTTGCAGCTCTAGCACACACATGCACACACACAAAGCAGAGAATCACAATGAAAAAATTCATGAGCATCACTGGAGAATTAACAGGAACAGATCAACATGGAATGAGTGGATGGTGAGGAGAAAGAGCGGAAGTGTTTTAAGACTGGCATGTTATTGGCACTTAGATTGGTCACAAAGATCCCAACACGCAGCTCGTCAGCACGCTCAGGGTGGTGAACAAAGGAAATGAGTACAGCCTAAGTCACAGAGGTGGGACAGGATGAGGAGACTGATCAGAGCTCACTCCTAAAGGGCACAGAAGGACACTTCTAAACTTGGTGATGGAGCAGCCAACTCAAGAACAACACAGGTAAGAGGACAAGAACAACGTAGCTAACATACCTTGTCATCCAGGGTGTTGCAGAACATTTCTGACAGATCTCCTCCATACAGGCACTGTGGTGCCCGAATGCTGGGCACTCATGGATCTTGCTTATTTTGAGTGTGTGCCTAGGGATGTGCATGCAGTGAGGAAATTTTAATAGCCACTGTTCCCTCCTATAAAATTTCCCAATGACACATGCAGCATTGTGCAAACTGGCACTGCAGAAACAAGCACTGCAGCATCCCAACATTACTGTCATTTCCTGCTTTGATCTTGAAAGAGGCATAATGCATTTTTGTACTTTGGTGAAACAGTGAAGAGCATAAAACTGCAGATTAATACTTAATTGCTTTAAAATCAGCAACTACAATATTTTTCTAAACTTCAAAGGAGGGGTTTCAACGTTTTCAGGCCTATTATGGCTCCTTCTGAAGCAAGCAGTGAGACCTCTGCTCAGTGACAGTATCCTAATCCCAGATGGTTCGTTGTTCTCTGTCAGGCTGCTAGTTCATGTTCCCAGGAGATACCACCTTGAGTGCTGCACTCAAGCTCCCCTGTTCCTCAAGGTGTGATGGAGATGATGTACCAGTGAAATAAAAAAAAAAAAAAAAAAAATTTATTGTTGCTTCGAAATATAAAATGAACAAATCCATAATTACAAAGTCAGAGGCATAAAAGAGCTGAATAAAAGGAATGTGACATAACAAAGCAAAATCTTAAAATAGGAAACAACCAGAATCTTGTCTGAATGCCTTTTCTTGTGATACACCCCTTCCACAGCTCCACCTCAAACTGGCACTAATAGAGCCTGCTATAAGTCTAGTGCTAGGACAGCTGGAAAGATCATTTATACTCCAGTAAAGGACTGAAATTTTAATCCATAGAGATGTAAAGGATACAGAGTAAAAAGGGCTGAAGTGGAGAGCCCAGAGAACATTCTGCACTGCAGAATAACAGAAGTATGGGTATGGTGTCTTTGTGCCACTAAATACAGCACACTTCCAACCATTTCTTTTTGGGGACATGGATGCTGGCAGTGTTCACAAGGAGCATGTGTGCTAGGCTGAGGCAGGATCTCACAAGGAGCTGCATGAAGGGACAACCTCATCACAGGCATTTTTGGGGAAGAGGGGCAAAAGACCCAAACAGCTGCTGAGCTTCAACTCAGAGTTCTCACACATGGAAAGCCACCAACGAATAACTGAAAACAAAGCTGTCCATATTGGTTTTATGAGCTGTTCAGACTATTCTATAACCTGAGAATGCACCAAGCCAATTAACTTCAAGGGATGTTTAAGTAAAATCTTCCTTCCCTGCCTGGAAGTGAGATCTTAAAACATCCCTTTACAGTCCCTCCAGGAAGGGAGGCATTTTAGTACCTAACAGATGATTCTGCTAGCAGTGAAGTTTCAGCATTCCCACTGGGTAAGGACGTAAGCTGTGACCTCCTCTATTTTCTCTGAACTCACTCGTCTATCTTTGCATTTTCTGGGCCTTGCAGTGCCTGACTGAAGATGAGCTTTTTCAGCTGATCCAATCTGTCATCTCTTAAAGCATCTCGGATGGCGCTGAAGAAGCTGAAGTAGTGCTGAAAGTTGTGCATCATGAGCAGGACACCAGCCAGAAGCTCATTGCTCACAAGGAGGTGATGGAGGTATGCGCGAGTGTGCCTCTGACAACAGTAACAGGTGCATCCTTCCAGCAAAGGACGAAAATCATCATAGTATCTAAGGAGGGAGACACATTTGGTTACATCAGAAGTCAGAGGACTCACTCAGGTAACAAAGACTATCTAGTTACTCTATGGCCTCTACATGGACCTGAGCCCTGAGGGCTGGAATCTGCTGCATCTAAGCCCGACACAAAGGACTTAAGAGCATTCAGGAACTCACTATGGAGCCAAGAAGCCACACAATTAAGTCAGAAGATAATTCTGACTGCATCACCACTAACAGTAGCAAGAAGGCTTATCTGCACCTTCCCTCACAGAAAAGCTGCAGCTCAAGACTCACCTTGTCAGCTATCAGTCTGCAGAGAAGGAAGCTACCAGAAACAAAGATTCACAGAATAGTATTCCCTGCTACTGTGAGATGCACTATGCTCACAAAGTGGGCAGAGAATGGAACAAATCAACACAATTGATTAATAAGCTGTAAAAAAACAAAACAAAACAAAACAACAACAAAAAAACAGTTGAAAAATAGTGTTTCATAGCTGAGAATTTGCTCTTCAGTGTTATTCTGGTCTCTGTATCTGTTGTAGTTTCCATGGAAATAAATAGGAGGCATTACTTCTGGAGTGACCTGTGTACCTTCTGAAAATGACTCAAGTTAATTAGATGCAGAAGAACAAAATGATCCTCAGACAGCTTTTGTCACACTAGTTTTCCAGCTGGAACATTGCTGTGGCCACAATATTTCTGCTGGATAAGCAATCTGAAAATCTCTGGCTTTAGATCAGAGAAATGATAGCACTTTCAGCTATCTTTCATACACTGCTCTGTACATCAAGCTAAAATGACTACCTGACACTTAATTCAATGTCTAGGTCTACTTTACTTCTTCCAGTGGTTTTGCATTTTATGAAGTTTCCCATCCAGCTACTGACAACATGAAAATATAGAGGACAAAAACCATAGTATTTCCTGGTACAGTTGCAGGCTCCTTCCTCACTAATATAAATACCTTTTCTCCTTCAGAAATATCTCAAATGGTGTCATTTCTGGGTCAGCTTTGACAACCTCCTCCTCGTCTTCTTCGGTACCATTTTTCTCCAGGTCCTGGGCCCCATTTTGTTTTAAAGCTGCTATGAAACAAAAAGACAACAGCTTTTTATCAACAGTCAGCAAGAGCACAGGGAAGGTTGTAATATCCTGCAGTATTTCTGCCACTCTCTTCCCAAAAGAAAAAACTCTTGCCACAAGTTTCCACTTCCTTCCTATGGTAAGCAAGCATTTTTCTTTAATTATCATAGGTTAGTTAACAAAAATAGAATTTCAGATTATTAGAACAGCAAGAGACGAGTGAAAACTCATCTATCAGATTTAATGAAGAGTTAGAGCTGAAATAACAGCACAAGTTTGTGCTGCTCTGCTGAACTGAATTCTTAATAAAATGTTTCCAGTCTGAACGGCATGCTGACTAGAATGCAGTCACCTGAACAAATTGATTTTATTGGGATTTTGTTGGAATAAACAGGCTACTGATCTGCATTCAATCATTCTACTTTTCATTCTGTCACCCAACTCAAAGATTTAGATTTTTTTTTTCTTAAACAATTGAAACAAAAGAAGCCGATAGCACTGACGCAGGAGATGTAGATTCCATATGTGTATGTTCACAGTCTACCTTAAAAATAAAAAAACACCCCATAATTTTGTAGGTTGGCATTTTTGTTGTCGAGCAGGAGATGTTTCTGGAAACATCAGTAATATTATTTTTTGCACAATCCACATCTAGTGAGTGTTGCATAGGAACAGAACAAAGAGGTTATTCCTACCCGTAATTTCTTTTGGTTTAGTAATAAGATGAGATGAGGCAAACAACAACAAACAAAGAGAATGGTTTAAAAAAAAAAAAACAACTGACAGCAAACAGAAGGAAACAAGATGTTCCTTCTGTTCTATTTATCTGGTTTTGAATTATCCAGGCATGAAAAGAAACCAAGTTCCACCTAGGAAGAAAAATGTAAAACGTTTTTTTTTCTTTTTTCCATATTAAAAACATTTATGGAGTCCAAAACAAGACGACTGCTTGAAGAATGTTTAACAGCTGCTTTAATGGTTGCTATGCTTGCTCCTCTCTCACAGCCCAATGAGGTAATGCACTATGAACATCTTGGTCCTGTTCTCATATGAATACACAAACTGAAAGCTACCCAGAGAAACAGCATCCCTAACTTTGGTCAGCTATAAAGGAAAAGGACTTCAAAATAAACTTTAAAAACAAACAAACACATACTCAGTTAAATGTAGAAATCGAGTATCATAGTAGAACTCCATATAAATTTGCCCAGCCTGCACCTCTAGCATTAACAGAAACATTTGTAAATGGTGTCAAACAGAGGACAGATACACAGTTCAGTCTACAGAAACAACTGTGTTCAGTGTTAGAGAAATCATTATGCACATTTTGCATAACCAGACATTCAAATCTTTGGCTTAAATCAAGGACAAAAGAACCCTCAAACACAGATTCTTCCAAAGCATGAATTACGCTTGCCACACTACCAGCTGATACGGACACGTCCTACCTGCTGCTTTGGGATCTGAATGGTAATCATAGCCAAACACCAAGGCACAGCCTCGCTCCGTCACCTGGAAGGGAAAGAAGCTCTCAAAGATGTCCACTCCCCTTTCAATGCACTCAAGCACCTCATCTGGTTTGCCCACACCGTGGATGATTCTGTAAGAGATGCGTAAGAAGATAAACCTGAGAATATCCCAAGCAGAAGCAAACAGATACCTCAAGGAAAAGAGGCATGTGGAACACACACAGGTTAACCCTGGAACTGCTAAACACAAGTCAAGTCCATACAACAGTCTATCACTCCAAGCCCTGCACAGCTCTATTTCCACACCCCTAACCAATCCGGTACACAAGAGGCTTTTCCTCCTTTGCCATTCGGAAGACAGCACAAACACTCATTTACCAAGAAAAATCTCATTCCGCTCACGTTTGAAGTGAATAAAATACATTTATAAAATTCACCTAACAGCTATGTTTTAGAACAGATATTTTCCTTAGTCATATTTCTGCCCTACATAGCTACCAGGTACCAGATACACTGACCTCTTCACTCGGTAATCGCTCAGGAAACAATTTGAAAGGACTTGGCCTAGACCAGCAGAAACAGCAGATGTTTCTAGCAGTATACAGTTCTCTAGCATCTGAAGAACTGCCTGGAGCAAAATGCACTAAGGAGAAACATAACTGGAAATAGAAAGAAGTTCCTTGCTTTTTTCTTCCTTCCTCTCCACACTCTTCCTAGTCAAGCCTACCTGTTCACCCTCTCTGATACCCTTTATTCTATAAATGTCTCTGATTCACCCAAACAAATGACTTTGTCAAAAAACTGGGCAGTAACATCCACTGGGATACAGTATGAGACAGGAACAGCCCAGCTGGATTGCCATCAGTGGTAATAGGAATCCTGCTGTTAGCCAAATTTAGCTGGCAGCTTCCTTGAGGGCTGGTGAAGCAGAGGAGAACAGAGTGGTTCCTGCTCTCCTGCAGGTGCATGGCTGGGCTGAAGGCAGTAAAAGCTAATGTAGGGCAGTGATCTAAACAGATAATTAGAAAAATACACAGGGGCTGATAAACGAAGTCACAAGGTGCCATTTTTAGTCACTTTTTTAAGTACCTGAATTAAATTGATGAGCAAAGAATATGGATGGGGAACGATTTACTGCGGAGCGTCTTCTGCTTCAGGCTCTTATGAAAGGGAGAAACTAATGTTCAATAGTTAAAGCAGTAGTTCTGCATGTGTGATCAACACCCTTGCTAGAACTTAACTTTGCACAGACAAGAACAAAAGTTTGTTCTTGCAAGGGTTCCACCCCTACTAGAAAAAAAGAATAAGAGATTTCTACAACCTTAGGTTCCTGAAAAGACCCTAAAGATCACATTCATGACATCATTTCACTAACACAAAAAGCAATTCCTTCTCAGGTGAGGGTGAGAGTGTTTGGCTTCTGGAGAATTTCACATTAGAGTGGAAGACAGTTGTAAAACAGCTTCTCCAGCCAGAACGGCAAGGGTGAAAGCAGGACTGTCTGACACTCACTCAAGATACTTACAAGACCCCAAAGGCAAACCAGCTTTCTTCTTACTTAGGGGTCACAAACACTTGTCTTACTCAGACAAGCAAACTATTTGAGGTTACCTGAGCAGATTGGACTTAATGCTCTCAGTGGATCTTTTTAAGTAGTTAAACCAGACAAGATGGCAACAACACAGCAAGGCTTCTAATTGTCAAAGAAATTCAAACCCTGGACACCCCTTAGCATGAACAAGCTGCAGCATGACAGCACTTTCACATTTTCCTTTCTTTTGAACACCACCTGTTCAAACTAATGCTCAGATAGCAGAGGACAGCACAGCTACAGCAAAACTAAGGGGCCCCTGTCATTCCCTTCAGGAAATGATGAAAGAAGCCCCCATACAAGAGCAGCAGCAAGAGAGGAACGACTCAAACTCATACAAAAGTTAGCAAACTCAACACCGTTCTAAGAAATTCCTCCACATTTGAACCACTAGTAAGTATTAGCACATCTTTTCTGGAAGCCTTTAGTTACTTTTAGTGATTGGGAAAAGTCAAGAATGATGAAACTACTGTGTAGACTCTGACATGGATCAATCAGATGGGCATAACCAACAACACAGAATATACTACAGTTCCCACACTATGCCAATCCAGAGAATGCAGTCAATCCAGAGAATGCAGTTTCTCTTGTCCAGGCTGATTGAGCTCTGGTAATTTACAGGCTCAGCACCTTAGGTACTAGGTCAGAGCCCGCTGGTCATGTAAGCTCTTACTGATTCTGTCAGCACCCCTCTCTACTCTTCTCCAGCTTAGCCTGTATAGAACTGCAAACCTGACCTTTCTTCTTAGAAGAAGTCCCTGTAGAATGAGTTGATCATTTTTGTTCTAGCTGAACCTACAGTAAAACATGGCTTCAGAGGCCAAATGCAAACAAGTTCAGACAATAGCCTAGACATATCCCATCTATAATTTTCCCTCAAGAAAGCAAAGAAGCCCTGAACTCAAATTTGACTACTCTCTAAATGTGGGGAATGCTCATATCTAGAACATGAACACAGCTTGGTGTCAGTTTCAACTAAAAACTGAAACAACAGTTGAAGCCTGCAGCCTGACCGTGGCCTGGCGCACACACAGCACTGTGCAAGACAGTGACTTTCTCACAGTGATATTGCACAGCAGCCTTGTAAAAAGATGGGTGAACTTCTTGGGATGTCACCCATATAACTTACCTTGGCTTATCCTCTGGCAGCTCTGCTGTCACAGAAGAAATCAGGTTCAATTTGGTCTCCTTGGCCATGGCATGTCCCTGGAAGCCATCTAACAGAAAGCCACCCACGGGTCTCTTGGCAGTCTCCCTGGCTGATCTGAGCCTCTCTTCCAAGACATCTCCACCTTCAATTGTCCCAAACATTACACTTCCTTGTAGTTCCTGGCTCAGAAGAAAGCAACAAGCCTTAGAGAGTTCTGCCAAAGACATGCAGGATCTCACAGCACAGACTACAGATGCTTGCTACCTAAACCATGCATTCACAGGAACTTGGAAGAGCCACAGTGATTCATCCTATGTAAGATAAACCCTCAAACGATACTGTGAAGTCCAACTGGGAGGTAGAAAGGAATTAGGAGAGAAAAGATTCTGCTTCCAGCCTCAGCACTAATTCACTGAGAATTTCAGAGCCATTCTTTCCACCTCCCCACAGAAAGTAATAACAACAGATGATCTTTGTACACAGCTTTTTGGAGGTGTCCCCTCAGCACTCCATGTCAGTCCAGAATACAAAGCATGTTAAACCATCTTGGCTGCCAGACAGCAGAGCTCACATTCTGTTGCCCTTCAGGAGATGACAGTATTGGTTCCTGCAGCCACTTTCCTTTGTAATGCACACCTGAGTAATTTGTTCCCTTTCACCAAAAGGGAAGGAAGTTTTAAACCATCTGGAGAAAATAAACAATAGAACTGGCAAATTCTGGCAAGTCCTCCTTCACCTGGAATTGAACAGATTTCGGGGAAAAAAAAGACTTGTCTCAATCTGAATGAGAAGATCCTACTTTGCCAGAGTACACAGCATGAAGGAAAGTGAAAAGAAATGCACTACAGTCCAAAAGCAGAATAATAGAAAAAATAGAATTCTCTCAAACTAGTAGAAATTGTTGTTTTGTAGCTGGAGACAAGTTATTAAGAGAAGAGAAAGGCAGAAGGAAATCCCACAGTGCGACCGATCTTACTTCCTCCAGGACTTTCACCTGCACATCCTCTGATATAGATGTGTGACAAGATCTCCTACTAAATCACAGCCTGGAACTGGCACACAGTGAAGCATAGGCCAAAAAGCAGCTGCAATGCTACAGTCTTGACATCTTTGGGACCTTACCGGTGCCTTTTCCAGCAGCTGAAGGCATGCATCCAGGAAGGAAAGCGATCTGTCCACAGACTTCTTGGCCCTTTTTCCAGTAACTTCTCCAGAAATAGTGTCTCCATCAGCAATGCACTGGAACCAGTCAGGCTGGATAGCCCGCTGTATGTCCATGAACTTGGAAGCTGTCATTTCCATGCGTCCTGAGCTGCCCCATAGGGACACTGTCTGTCAAGAAAAGAATAGGACTGAAAGACCACGCAAAGGTTAACAGATCTCAAGTGTCAAAGGAGAGAAGTCTGGTGAAACACCAGATACTGGAAAGACACTGAAGAGATAAGTTCTACAGCAGCATGGCTCAGATATTCAGTTCTCCTTGATACAATGAGTGAATGAGAAACGACCAAGTTGGGATTTCTTGGATACTCTTTCATGAAACCATCAAACACATGTAGCACAGCACCTCCTCAAGGTGTTTGGAAGTCTCTGAGATGGAACAGCTGGCCTTATCACTCAAATTAGTGGCAGAATGGAAAAAAAAAATAAATGAAAAGAATTATAGATTTAGGTAATTCCTTTCCTGCACAAGGAGAGGACTCAGGCTGGTTCCTAACAGCAAAGAATATGCAGTGCAAAAAACTACATGGTGAAGCTTATCCTGCCATTCATGATAAGTTGTCATATCCAAGCAGGATCCAGAACTGACCAGATCTAAGCAAGTACCAGGAATTGCCCCTCCAGGCCAGTGCCACAGCAACCAGTATGTACCATATGTACTGAGTGGGAAATTGATACATCTCTAGGATGGAACTGGCAAAGGCTCACAAGGCTCCTGGGTTACTGACATCTCTTCCTGCAGAAATACTATGTTCTTTCCTTTTGTGGTTTTGTATCAGACTATAACTACAAAGACAGGGTTGCAGGTTTACTGCAATCAGTGCAGTGGCATCACTGCAAGCCTGTTCAGCACATAAGCCAAAATGCATGATTTTTCCTTTACTGCCATACTAACCACAACAGCACAAGATTCCAGAGATCTCTGTCCTATCTGAATCATCACTTAACTGCTCCGGAAAGAGACTTCCAGTAAGAAAATATCCAGATTTATTTAGTTGGAGCTATGAGCATGCAAGCGTCGCTTTTCTTACTACAGAGAGTTCTTCTTCTATATAGTGCATGAACATCATCTTGTTGCTTTCCAGACACATCCACACAAATGTGGGGACAGACTGGCAGCTCTTGTTTGGTAACTTTTAAGTGGATTCTTTCAAGACTTTACAGTTACTGTACCTTGTTGGTGTTGTAGCCAGAAGGACAGGGAGCAGCTGGATCTTGAAGGGAGCAGTACAGCACTGTATCTGGCATACCTGGGAGCAAAGCAACAGAGAAGAGCTTCATGAACCAAAACAAGGCTAATGTAAAGGGATGGTCTATGAATTTGCAAAATGGAATATGTTTTCCTCCCACAAACAATCTCACAATCCTCCTCTGCAGTTCTTCTACAGGACAGATAAAGAAAAATATTGCTCAATTGATCTCTCAGTACCAAAGAAGGTAGCCAGACTTCTTCCTCAGCTTTACCAGCTGCAGGGAACAGAGCACAGTACTGGGATGAAACAGGAAACAACAGCCATTGTTTCTGCAAGCTGCACAGCCCCTTAGATTTTTTTATTATTATTATTTCTTCTTGATGAACACACCCACTACTAAAATTTGCCAGACACAGTAGCTAACTCACTTGACAACTTGACAGGTACACTGGGAGACATCTGACAATCTAAACAGAATAACAGCCTCAAGCCTAATATTGTAAAGGAAAGACAACATACTGTGGGAGATCAACTACAGAAATGAGAGCCTCATCTCTGCTAGACCAGAGGTTTCTAATGTCATACATAAAGCTTGTATGTCTTAATGCCACAGTTTTCTCTTCGCAGACAGGCACTGAAATTGGTAAAGTCTCCAAGAAGTTTCAGATAGAAGGGACTTACGACTGTTCTTGATGGAATAAGCAGTCCCAAGACAATTATCAAAAGCTGCATGTAAATCTCCTTTGGAAATCCAAGCCAAAGCTCTGCTATGTAATGAAATAAATGTCCAAAATCTTGAAGTATTTTTTTTTTTTTTTTAAAGAAAAACAAACTCTGTCCAATAGATTTCTATCTTAACAACTGTCAATGTTACTGAAATTAAATAGACATTCAACCACTTCAACAGGATTTACCATATAGCCATTATAGCCCTAGATACCTGGACAAATCATCCCAGTAAGCCTGATGGTAGCTGATCACCCTACCATTCTTTGAGCTACCTTCCCAGATAGAAATACTGACTTTGAATGTTCATTCAAGATGCCAACTCTGCTTTCACAGCATTCTCAGGTTCCTATACCACCTGAGTCCAAAAACAGTGATCTTGGTGATGCACTGCATGTGGGCAGTCCTTTACCAGTCCCTAATGACTGACAGGGAAAAAAACCTACAACTGCTGCACACACAGAAACCATGGTCTGTGCTCACTCTTAGCACCAAGCTAAAGGTTTCATTCATGAACTGCTCCAGTAATAGAGGGACTGATAAAAACTACAGAGGCTCAGTGCAGTAACGGAGGACTGCAGCAACACTTACTTCATATTCCAGCTTACTTGGATGTATTCCTAAAAGCGACCATTCAGCATGAAAAAATGGAAGGCGAATGGATCAGTGCAAGTACAATCTGACAAACTAAAAGGAATAAAGAACAGGAGGAAAACTGATCTCCAGCTGCTCATTTAGTTTCTCAGAGCTCCTGCAAATCCAACACGGCCCCTTCCCTCAGAACAAGATCAGTTTAGAGGCAGAAGCATTCACTCGATGAGACTGATTTGATGTAGGGTGTTTTTTCCATTCCTCATAATGGATGAATGAATGGATAAAATTTTCTTCTTTAATTAATCTTCATGCCGGATTAAAACTTTCTGTTGGGCTTAAATGAAACCAACTGCATTATGATAACCAAAAAATGGCAGCGCTTATTAGAAGATGGATACTCTCAGAGAATCATTTAGACAGCTGCAGGAGAAGGTTGTTTTCAAGGCAATGTTCTCCTCACATGACTAGTTAGAAATTGCACTTAGCAAGATCCTTTTGTAGCCCCCCCACTGACAGTGGCTACTGTAACTTCTCTCTCAGTTTTAGTCGCAAATTTTGACTTGGGCTCATTCTTGCCAGTGTTGAAAATTCTACGGCAAAGATTAGGGGAGAAAAAAGTAAAGCAGAACTATATATTCTCATGCTCTGTTTGATGGATTTCTGGCCCTACTGTTGACAACAAAATATTTCAAGTCCTCCTTAGATTCACTCTGACTGAGAGAATGCATAAATGTAGAAAGCCTGCACCTAGGTGTTTGCATCTCAAGACACACCAGCTCGATCCACCTCCCTCCAGACACGCATCGTCCCTCATTAGGTCTGAGTCTGTACATGCGGCTTGTAAGCACACAAGGTCAGAATTCACGTGAAAGCTTCATTTTAATTCTGTGCAGAACTAGGAGCCTGGCAAGCCGCCATAAAGCAAGTGAACCCCCGAATATTTACACGCCGCTGTTTACTGAACTTTCCCTCTCTGCAGTTTCTAACTGGTTATCTGTTCCATCTATTTTTCGTCACCCAGGTAACTAGTGATATGATGGGAGAACGGCCTCCAGTTGCACCAGAACTGGTTCAGGCTGGATATGAGGAAACTTTTCAGGAGTGGTGAGGCGGTGGCACAGGCTGCCCAGGGAGGTGGTGGAGTGACCATCCCTGGAGGTGTTCAAGAGCCGTGAGGATGTGGCACTGAGAGATGTTTTAGTGGGCACGGTGGAGACAGGCTGACGGCTGGAGTAAGTGATCTTAGTGGTCTTCTCCAAACTTAATGATTCCAGGATTCTAAAGGTCAGCTATGGGGCATTTCCCCTCGCCTTCTGCTGACAGCAGTTTGTCACACTGGACATGCTTGTGTCATACTGCTGCCTTCTCACACATACTCGTGATCGTTTCTGCTCCTCGTCCACACAGACTCCAAGCTCCCGGCAGCTATAAGCAGTAAACATCCGCACTTTACCTATAAACTTCGCCGCTCCCTCCTTGTACTCCTCCAGGACGTCGTGCAACTCGGCCCTGCAGCCAGACACAGAGACGCATTAGGCACGCGGGGCGCTGTGGCAGAGGCAGGCGCGGAGCCGCGCGTCCCGCCGCCGTTACTCACATGGTGGGCAGCGTGAGCTGTGCCACGGCAGGCACGCCGCCGACCTCGCGCAGCGTGTCGCGGGTGAGGTGCGGCGCCGTGCCGGTCCGCGTGTACAGCAGGCAGCCGGGCAGCGCCAAGGCGGCCGCCCCGCTCCGGCCCAGCCCCGCCAGCGTGCCCAGCCGCCCGCCCGCCGCCCCGCACAGCTTCACCCGCATCCCGAAAGCCGCAGCCGGCGGAGGAAGGAAGACGAGAGCCTCGCCGCTTCCCCCGCTTTCCCCAATTGCCTCCCGCCACGGCATCGGCGAGCGACGGCGGGTGGGCGCCGAGTTGCCATGGCGGCGCCGCGGAGCACTGTGGGTCGGCGGGCGGCCATGGCGCTGGCGGGAGGGAAGTCGCGGCTGTTCCGCTGGCGGCGCCTGGCCGCCCCGACCGGCCCGCAGGTAACGGGCAGCAGGCTTCGCCGCCGGGCGGCCGCTGCCGAGCCGGGGCGCAGCGCCTTGGAGCGGCGGCGGCCAATGAGAGCGGGGAGCGGCGCGGGGACCGCCAGGGGGCGCCGGGTGGCCAAGGGGCTGCACCAGCGATTCTAACGGGCGGGGCGGGGTCAGTGCTCGTGGCGGGCAGGTGATGCGCTTTGTATTTTGATAACTGTAAGGTTTGCTTTATCTTGTTTCCAGGCCAGGTTTGAGTCCGACAGCACGGAATACTGGATGAAGGTGCAGTAACTCAGCTGCCTTATGGGGGAGCTCGCCCGTAAGTGGGGTTTGCCCCTGCTCCACGCGGAGCCGTGGGTCAGGCAGAGCCCGCTGCTGAGCAGCTCTGCGCGGCGCAGGTGGAAGTGGCACCTGGAGCCTTTCTGCTGCTGCTGTGGCCACCTGATACCGAGGAGGATTGCGTGAACTCTTCCTGGTCGGCAATGGCTGTGACAAAATTTTCATTGCTGGTTGCAGGGCAGCAACGAGGCGAGTCCTCGTTCGACCCCCAGGGGGCTGGGTGTTTGCATTCCCCCAGCGCGTTCTCCCATGGCTGTGATTGGCAGTAATTGCCAAACGAGCGCTTATCGCTTAATCATTTCTGAGTGAAATTTCTCCACTCAATCAAGAGCAGCTGGAGAAACGTGTTTCAAAAGGAATCTCTTTTAACAGCCATACTGCCTTGTGTGACAGCCCCACTGATGCTTGTTCTCTCTCGATGAATATACATCAACCCTTAGAAATGTTTCTTTAATTTAAAGAGAGTGGAGCAAGCCTCTGAGTATGCTGTTTCTGAAGCTTTTTCCCTTCAAAAGCCCAAGTACCTGCAGGGGCTTTGTGATCCTGCAGTGAGGATGGAAACTGTGGAACAGCTGCGAGAGTGTGATGAGGCATGTCTGGAAGGTGAGCCATATGCTGCCTAGGATGAACCCCTCTTGATGCAACACCCTGGTCTGGTGTGGACAGGCTGTTACGAAGCTGTAGACCAAGAGAAACAGTTGGCAGTAAAGATCTGAGCCTTTCATCTAAGGAGGAAAGGTATAAAAGAATCATTTGGTAGAGTTCAACGTAGTTCAGTTAGTAGACTTAGAGGAGTGATGAGCTCCCCATCTCCTGGAATTTTCAGGTTGAGACGGGTGAATACTGCCTTTGAAGATCTGGTCAAATACAAGTTACTGGCCCACAGGAAACTGGATGAAATTAGCTGCTTATTTTTGACAGCAGGCCAAATGTGAAAATGGATTGGCCCTCTGTGACTTCCCCATCTATGAATAATTGTGTGGGCTTGCTTTAATTCCCACGTAGTTTTGCTTACTAATTAACTATCTAAATACTCCCTTTGCACCGTCTGCAGCCACAAGTGCTTACTGACATTTAAAATTAAAACTGGTACATTATAAAATGATTTCCCATCAATAGTGGAAATATATCTGCAGTGTAAAGAGCTGGTAGCGCTCTTGCTTTCCTCCTGTTTCCTTATTGTTTTTATTTGTCCTTCTATGCTCATTTTACTCAGTTTTTTATTTTTTAAAATAGCTATCAACCTCACCGGATTGTTCCAAGCACAACTGGAAGCCATTTATCTAGAATCTGTTATTAGAGTAATTAACAGTATTATCTACATGTATCTCAGTTTGCAAAGAAAGGTATAACTCCTCTGAATTATACGCAGTTTTTCTCTCTTCTTTCTCATATCAGATATACTTCCTTGTTCCTGAGCTGAAATGATGGATTACAAGAGAAAACAAAAGTGATTTGAAGGACAGTGAACATAGGATTTATTTTTTCTAAAAAGAAAAAAAAGTTGTTTTTTTTTTTAAAGTCTTAAAAAGCATTTTTGCCTTTGAATGAGAAAGGTTTGCTTGGAATATCACCATTTTCACAGAATCACAGAATTGTAGGGGTTGGAAGGGACCTCCAGAGATCATTGAGTCCAACCCCCCATTTTGAGTTAGAACTAGAGATTGAGAGCATCTGCTTCCTCTTTTTACGCTCCTGTTACAGGTGTGCCCTGCACTGCAGCAGCTGGCAAGATTCCTGCCCTTTGCCCATCCTCACCGCATGGATGGTTGCACTAATGCAGCTGCTCCTGATGCCTTGTGGTTTACTGTGTTCTGCTTCAGGAACAGCCCAGACTCCCATGCAGTGAGAACAGGTGGCTCATTGAGGCAGCACTCGCATTAACTGTCTTTGCTTTGACTAGGAGTGCTGAAAAAAGGATGTTCTACATTTTTCTCCACAGGAGTGGAGGTGCAAATAAAATCTGCAGAAGAGCTTTATACCCAATTGTGTATTTGGCATCTCATTGAGGAGCAGCAAATCCATCGTGGGTGCATCCCTGTAGTTAAGTTGCAGCCTTCTGAGTAAAGACAGTCCCTACTGAGGCTTGCCGTGTGACAGATTTTTAATCTAGACTTAACAGACGTTACTGGAGCTGTGCTATTTGCAAAGGTTAATCTGTACACTTGGAGCAAATATTTGTCTCAACAGTGATTCTTTTTGTATTTAATGTGTGACAACACTGGCTGTACACATGAAAAAAATCTTAAGTGCCTGCAAGTGCAGTGGTGAAACACTGTAAAGCTATCTGAGACATGAATTATTTTGTGTGCATTTTCTCTCCTTGATAAATGGTATAATGATCACTGGGGTGATCTAGATGTCCAAAGAATCTTGTAGGAAAAAATGAGGTGCAAAAGAATTCATTTGTGATACATGTGACAGAGAAGAAGTTTGCCACCATCCTATTCTTTCATAGATCAAGAAAATGAGAACAGAATTATTAGTCCTATTCCATTTTCTGTTGTAGATCAGCTTCCAGTCATTTTAGAATGTTTTCCGAGCATGTGATACAACTGCCACAGGGAAAGAGTTTTGCTAGTTGACACTTACCTGTATATTTTTAAAGTCATCAGTCTCTTTCTTTGTGATAGCCCGAGAGCTGCTCAGTAACTGGACTAAGTCCAAACTGCAGCTGACAAGTGATGGAGAAGCAGCAGTTGACTCTGTCCCGGAAAATCCTACAGCCCTTCTGAAGTATGAGCGGTTTGATGGTGAGAGCACAGCAAAACAGCTCTTGGCTCGTTTGTAGAGGATGTAGTGGGGAAGGGAGATGGGGCTCATGGCTTCTGGACTGACAGGTGCAAGTCACATTATGGGTGAAGATTTCTCTCTCCCAGCTCTTAAAGCAGCTGGCCTTAGGGCTGCCCAAATGTACCTCATAAACATCTGATCACAGAATGGCCAGGGTTATGTCTCCCTTGTAAAACAAATTATATTTCTATTGTTTGTGGGTATGTTCAAGGCCTGTCAGATTTATACAGCAATTTGAGATGCTTGGAGGCAAGGCAGTAAAAAATGGACATAATGTTGTTATTGCTCTCGTGCATTCAGTGGAAGACACTAGATTAATCCTCATTGGGGATACATGGAGTGCAGTCAGTATGTCTGCTTTCATCAGAAATGCACTGACAGTCTGGGAAGAGTGATCCCTTTAATTATATTAGGCTTTGTAATCTGATGCAGGGATTTATTCATTTCAGACTAGTTTGAGATAATCTGAATTCCTCATTTCAGACTTGTACAACTATCTGGAACATGAATTGGAAAGTTGTTCTGTCCAAGAGTACCTACAGCATCTTTCACAGAGTGAAATTGTGAACTGTGGGATAGTGGAAAACCTCAGACTTGAAGACATCAAGAAACAAAAACCTGCAGATCCACGAATAACCATGGAGCTCAGACACAAGCAGGTGTGCATGCAAAGCAGCACAGTTAAAAGGAATAAGACTGAAGATTATAGGATTAGAGTAAATGCTCAGTGACACTTGTTAGGTAGTCTCTCCTAGACCACAAAAATCCCTGTCTTGGAGGCAAATACACTGCAATACTCTTCCAGGATGGAGCTGAAAAGTTACTGTGCTTCAGCTTGCACGTTAGCCATTCACAGTAGCGTTCATGGTCAGCTTTCACTGTTCAGGTGAACTTTCACTATTTCATCTATTCAGGTTTTCCTCCTTTCTGAAGACTGACAGGAGAAGCCAACACGACTCTCACTTCTGAGTATGCTCCTATCAAGTAATACTGGTTTAATACCACTCTCTTGAACTGAGTTTTTTGGTGGTCTCAAAACAACCAGTTCAATCACTGCCAGCTACAGATAGGGTTGCATGCTTCTCATCCTGTTGATTCGCACTGAAGCTCAAATTCTTGAGCCCTTCTCACCTGTTTTGATTCTTGCCTCCTCCTCAGGTAAAAGAAAATCGACTGAGGCGTCAGAAGGCATTAGAGCTTCAGAGACAAGAAAAGGCTCTGAGGAAGGCCGTTCTGTGCGAGGCCAAGCTTCAAATACAGGAGGAGGACAGAAGGAAGGCCCTGAAGGCAAAGAAGGAGGAGGAGGAGATCCGAAGGGAAATGGTGAAGCTACGAAAGGAAATGGCTGAGAAGAGGCAAACTATGGCAGAAGCATGGAGAATGTAAGGGGGGGGGGAGGGGACACAGAAAGCACCATATGGAAGAGCAACTCTTTTTAGCTTCTTCAGGTAAACGTAAGAGAAGTAGTGGTCCCAAAGGAAACATTTTCGATTGCTCTGTCTTCAAACATCCCCAAACCTTTTATCCCTCTGTTACTTCAGTGGCAGAATTTATCATTAGAGAGAAGATGGGCTTAAGATGTTGTTAGACTCCCTCCAGCCATTACCGTTACTGAAGCACAAAGCAGGAGTGTGTTTGCAATACCATGCGTTCTCCATCAATTTCACAGCCATAGCCAGCCTGATTAGTGCTTGATACAGCATGAAAGCCAGTATACTAGAGTAAATGAACGAAATGCTGGCCTACCTAGAATAGTCTATGTTGAAAGCCTATCACTTAATAGACCTTTTCTCCTATAAGATACAAATTACGTTCTTGGCTAAGAATTCTGCAGAGAGATAGATGTTCTTTGCTTCAGCTAAGCTTGGATTGCCACAGAGATTGTGACCTGTAGAGATGCCACTTATTTACTCAGGCAGCCCTCACATCCTAATTCTTCTCATACAGTTCCATTTTTGAGCTCTTTTTAGTTTCTTCTTCATGTTTTATTTTGGAAATGCTCCAGGCTGCATAATCATTGAGATCCCAAACCTTGACTGGTGCTGTTCTCTATGAAGACTGAGTTAAATAGCAGTTTGCTAAGTGCTACTGGTCACTCTCTTCAATCATCAGATTGACAAAAAGTGGATAAGACCTGTACTATAGTATTTTCTTCATTGTATCAGATCTCAATGTTTGCTCACTTTGCAGGGAACAGAAAAGGGAACAAGAAAAAAGCCAGAAGCTGTCAGTGCAGGAGGTATCTATTAATGTGTCACCACCTATGGACCTGAAGAAAGAAGAGCAAGGAAAGGAGAAACAGAGGAGGGTTCAGGAGCTGCTGAGCCAAATTCACACCAATAAACAGAGAGTAAGCATCACCATCTTTTTATCTAGGGCTCTGAACTACCTGCCTTCAGCTACTCTGCAGAATTGAAATAAAAAGTCCTGGTTATTAAATCTCTTTTTACTTTTCCCAAGTTTCCCAAGATATCAGCAAAGTAGAAAACCAGGGCGAGAAGTAAGACCAGGAGCAAGAAATCTTGATCCCTCATACCCACTGCATCTAGCTCTCAAGTGTACCCTGTGGGAGATTTTGCTTAAAACTGTGGAAAAGATGTCACATCCAGAACAGCTGCAGGAAGGAAGTAAAAAGAGGGGAAGTAGTGGTGCAAAAGGGTATGAGAAGATAAAGATTGCCTTGAAAACTCTAGTAGAGGAACAAGGAGTAGGAAAGAGAAGTACTGAGGGTTTAGGCTGACTTGAGCTGCATCTCTAAGAGTTGAAGCATGCCACTGTATCTAGAGTAATGGCTTCTTTGAGGATCCACTCCCACTAGGGTCAGGAGGATATTCTGCAATATTGCAACAGCTTGGGACAATCATGCAGAGTTCGATAATCCTTAGTAGGAAGCTATTTCTTTTACCCTTGTTATTGACTGTTAATACCCTATTTTCAAAAATATCTCAAAACAGAAGGGAAATAAAAACACAAATCTCCCGGAACCCTGAACCACCGATTTGTTATTGGGAGATTAAAGAAACTGGATGAAAAACCATAGTAACTCACTTCACTGATAGCTAAATCACAGGAGTGCTTTCCATCTGAAATCACCTACACTGTCTTACCAAGATAGGTATATAAATGTGGGGATTTCCAACATTCTTCTTTGTATTTCTCAATGTCATCATCCTGAGAGCTTATAAAAAAGGAACACAGATGCACCTGCTCATTTGTGATACTGAAGCCAGCTGTGGGATTTATATGTACTTGTATCACATCCTTGCAATTAAAGAGATATTTTTGTACTGAATAATCTTATGTGGGTAGTTTCAGCAAAGGAAATAAACTTTCCCATGTTCAGGTATGAATGCCATTCATCATGAAACATTCTTAATTAAAACAGCAGTCATAATTAACATCATCTATTTTTTCCCCCCACAATCAAAGAATCCCACAGCTTTTACAGTGATTATCCCCCAGCTTACTTCATCTGCTCACGTACCAACTTCAAGCTTGGCTGCAGTTTAGCAGTACACAGTCTCCTTCCAGCACAGTTGAAGTTGTGAAGATAAGCCTAAATGAAAAGCCACTGTTTAACTGAGCTAAGCAATAGCAATTCTGACTATTTTCTTATAGCAGAAAGAAATAGCTAATGCATTGACATTTGTCCTTTTCTAAGTCTCCATTTGGAGATTTCAGTGACCGAGAAGAATGCAATTAATACAAGGCATTATCACAAAAGGGGAACAGCTGAGTCTTGTGACTTGACCCACTTGGAGGATCAAAATGAGCAGTGTCTGCAGTGGCAGGGCTAGAATTATGGAGAGATTAGATAGCAGATTTCTGTTCTGTACAATGTAAATCACTCCCAGAGGCAGCGGCTCTAATTACACAATAGAGGAATGGTTTTGCTTCCTTCTGGAACAAAGGTGAGCTTAGGTCATGTTATAAATCTACACTAGGGAGGATCTCGATTTTCATCTAAGTTAAAAAAAACCCCTCATATATATCCATAGACTAGTTGCTGACTGCTATCAGATCAGGCCCCCTTACCTATAGAATCTTTGACATTTTCTAAATGTTTAAACATCTGTCTTGTTTCTAGAACTTGTTTCCATATTCCTTACTCATTTTATTCCTTTACATTTCGTGAACTGAGAGCATTTCACTCAAAAGCATTGAGCCCCATGATATTTCTAGCCCACTTTTTGCATTAGGCTACATTTGTTCTGCATTATTTATACTTACCCTCAAGGTATTTGTAGAAAGTGGGATTTATAAAAAAATAAAATAAGATCTCAAAAGCAAAGTCAGGTAAGGGGAATAATGGAAAAAGGATTGGTGTTTGTGTTGGTCAGTATCTTGCTCCCTGTTTTTTTGTTTTTGTTTTTTAAACTCTCCCATGCAGTGCATGCAGCGGCATTTCTCTGCTTGGTTCAGACTCATTCTGGAGCACAGAATTAAAATGGAGAAAGCCAGAGCTCTTGCTGACTGGAAATGCCAACAGAAGGTCCTGCGGGCATGGAGAAACTACACATGGGCCCAGAAAATAGAGCGGGAGACACAGCAATTAGAAGTTCATCTGCAAGATCAAAACAGGTAATGACCCTACACGGAAATTCCTCCTACTGCAAGTATTCCAGGTGGTGATCAGAGGGTTGTTAGGCAACAGGAGGAAAACAGTAGCTCGCTGAGAAAACTGCTACATTGCCTACAGTCTTCTAGAGGGCCTGTGGCACAGATGCAAAGGAAAGCAGAGGAAAAGAAAGAGCACTGTTCAACAAGTCTGCAACTCTCTCTGTCTAGGTATCTTTCCTGGAAATCTCACTCTGGCTGGCTCAGGGCCCCAGCTAATATTAAAAATATATTAATCAGGAATAAATATGGCTTATCGCCTACTTCAGTGGTATTACAGTCAAAATCATTTTGCCCACTACCTTTCATTAAAGAGGCTGTTGGATGAATTCCCTGTCAGCAGGGGAAAATTCTGTTCTTAGAGAGGCTGTGGGCAAGGCACTGGTGCTTCCCCCTCTCTGCAGCTGGCAGGAAAACAGAATGCCTCTTTAGCACCTATTCTGCTGCCCAAGGATGACAGGAAAATGCAAAATGCCAGGGAGGGAGATTTACTTCAAAGTAATGAGCATTACCTCTGCTCTCTCATTCCTCCTTGGAGAAACAGCACAGCTTTGGAAGGCCTCCAGAGTTAAGTAACAAAAAGACTTGGGAGCCTGACTACATGGCCTGGCCTGCTGTACTCAATACAGTTGTTCCAGGTGGGCTTTGGCAGATGCCTCACTCCTATCATAACACTAATGCTTTCTCATTCAGGAAAAACCAGCTGTCGGCAGAGCATAACCAGCGGCGGCTTTTGCGCTCCTGCTTTCTGGCATGGCAGCACTGGAGCCAAGCAGAGGCAGAAAAACGAGAGCTGCAGCTCAAGAGAGAGGAGATGAAGAGGAAGATGGCACAGCTGTTGGAGACAGTGTCACTGGGGAAGAGTGGCTTGAACAGAACACTGGAGGTTAGCGAGTCTGAGACAGCAAAAGTAAACCAGCATCAAGTTTTGCAGCAAGATGAGGTAAAGTCTTGTGCGTAATTTTGTCTGTTGGCATTCCAGTACATTCACAAAGTACTTCTGTGCAGTCTGAAATAAAAAGCACGCTGTTCCAGAGGAAGGCTTCTTGTTCAGGGTGACCTCCCAGTGCCTACCTACAGCTGTTCAGGAGGGAAGCTGTTAAAGAGCAAAGGCAACTGTGAAGGACAGTGGATGAGTTTTAAAAATAACTAATTTCTTATGCTGCCAGAGAACAACCCTTCATGTACTGTGAGTCGCAGTCCCACCCCCAGATCACTTTTGCTGAGAGATTAGTTACATCTTTAATGCCTGCTTAGACTGAAAAAGAATAACACTTGACTGCATGGCAAGAGATTTTTGTCATGTCAGTACAGCGCTCTGGCTTTTCAGAAGCGTGGGGAAAAAAAAGGTGTCAGTGAGTATCTAAGGGTAATGCACATCACAAGGAGATGGGAGAATCAGAGGTTGCTTCCTTAAATTTCTCTTTCGTTGGTTCAGAGCCTGCCTTTCCTTTCTGTCTGTAAAACCTATAGGGCAGGACCCATATGAAAGCTGACACATTCACATATTTTACAAGTCAACCATTTCATTAGCTCGTGTGTCAGTTAAATCTGATTTTCCATTGTGTTTATATTATCAGAGTAGGTCAGTACTTTCCTTTGGATGCTTGTTGTGCTGGAAGGATGGGACCAAATTTGGAGTTTGACCTAGAAATCAGTAAGCAAATCAGGTATCTCATGCCTCTTCTGAATAAAAACAGGTGCCAGAGGAGGCACGGCGTAATTCCTCACCATGCACCAGTGTCATGGTAATATTTGATCAAATCTGGAGAAGAGGCAAAATGTAGCTGCCCTTTGCAGACTGTTCTCCCATCCGAGTGGGAGCTGTCAAGTAGATCAGCCTTGTAGATCACTCGTATTTCATTTTCAACAACTGTTTTGCCTCAGTCTGAGCAGAGCATTGAAAAGAGACAGCAAAGTCCAAAAGGGAGTGTGGTAATTGAGAGATGAGCTAACCCCTGAGAAATCAGTTGTCCCACGCTGTGCTCCCTAACAAAATAGAGATAAATTCCTGCCAGAACTCTTTCCTGATCAGGATTTCCTCCTTGCAGAGAAATGGCACAGAGCTTCTTAAAATAGTTTTTTCTCCAACATCCTCTTATTTTGTGCATACCCAGGCCCCTCTGCCCTGGCTAGGAACTAGATAAAGATTGCATAGATGAGATTGTTCTACTTATCAGGAATCTTGCTAGATTTTCATTAGAGTAATACTGCGTATCAGAAGAAAGCTTGCTTTTAATTAATGCTAAATCTTCCTTCTTGGTTTTTTTTTTTGTTTGTTTGTTTGTTTGTTTTTTCCCACCCCCCTTCCCCAGCCAACCAAAACATGCCTCATGCAGGAAGAACCTGACCAGACCAGAGACCACTCTTGTAGGGATGCTGCTCATACATCTCGTTCTTATAGAAAACCCAAGTTTGCCTGGCAGATCACCATCAAACATGCAGCCCTGAGTGCCCAGGACCAGGTTATGTACAGGAATGAAATAGCTGGTCTTCCCAAGCAGTTTCAAGCACCCAGCCCAAAGACAGCTCCTGCTTATGGTAGCTGTTTTGAGTATCGTCACACCTTTCAGCAACATCTGATTGAGGAGCAAAAGCAGCAGCTTCAGAAACAGCAAGAGCTGATCCTTGAACTGCAAGAAAATCAGAGGCTGAGCAGAGCAAACGAAGAGGCAGTGCAAGCTACAGTGGCAACCCAGGCACTTGACTCTGCTTCACAAACCAAGGAGAAAAAACTGAAAAGCAGAAAACAATCCAGATGCCAGAATACAACTCCTTTGAGGTATATGTCCTAGATAAGGCAGGCTCAGTTAGTCATCATGTCTCATCCCTACTCAAGTAGAAACACAAATTGACAGGAATGTTTCCATCATATTAGTGCTATCTGCTGTTCCTCTTAACAGTGATAGCCTCAAGCAGTGTCAGTCTGGCCACAGTTCTCCATCCTCTGTTTTTGCAATTGCTTGACAGCACATGATCTGTACAAGGTCTACTTAGAAGCAGCAACACGAGTGTTACACATAGCAGCAGCATGGATTTATTTAGTTAGGAGATTGTCATACTCAGTATTTCAGAATATGCAACAGCTCTGGGTACTCATCTCTTTTGTAAGAGATGCATCACTAACCACATTTTGGGCAGAAGAAAGGTGTATCAGGGACCTACAATGAAAATGCAGCACAGTGGAGAATAGAAACTATAAGGCCTGTATCTCAGTCATATGTGGTAAGCTTGAGACAACATTTACCGTATTTATTGATGAATTTCTTTACTCTTTCTTTTCGTAGTCTACCTGTTTCTTGTGAGCCAGAGAACACAAAGGCAGCGACGCAAGGCAAGAGGTCAGCTCATCCCATAGTGAAAGGTATTTTTCTAGGCAGATAAGACCATTCTAGGCTACTTTTTTCAAAAACTCATGTAAACTTGTGTTTATTTACCTCAACTTTGCTGGTTGAGAATGGTATGCAAGTAAAACTCAACACTATTTTCTAGCCTGGCCACCCCTGGGAGGGAGTAAGCTGTTTTCATGGCTAAATCAGGCATCTGTAGAACTTGAGCTACTGCAAGCTCTTGCTCAGTATGCTGTAGCAGCTGTTAACTAACACCTGAGTCTAGTCAGACTAGAAACAATCACTTGAATGAAGCTCTTCAAGTTATTTTGCTATCATTCCCTACACTGCACATTCAAGTAACACTTAAGCTAACTGCTCATTTTAACTTAACTTTGACACACACAAGTATTAAGAATTCCCAGAAATTAAGTACCTACCTAAGATTTTGAGAGACAACAGTAGACTGGAGAAGAAGCATCGGATTCCTGTCTTCTGTGAGTTAACTCCCCATCTCTGGCCATATTGGAACAGCATGCACACATTAAACATGCAACACAGCCTTTCAAAGGGTATATTAAGATCAGGTTCTGCTATGTCCTTAACTTATCTTTTTCCATATTAACCTAGGGGTGGTCACAGTCTGCAGAAAAGATTGTCTGCTATGTGATGTTTCAACAGTCTTGAGAATTTCCAGAGCAATTTTGGCTATGATGGCTAGGCATTAATAGGTATCTTTCATTACAACTGACTCTGTTGAGTTCCCAGCTTCTTAGTGCAAGCCATCACTCTGATTTCTTTGAGCTCTGTACAGCTTGAGGACAGTAAGAGTATTTCCAAAGCACTCAAGTGCTTTTCTTTAGAGATCCGTAAGTAATTAGAGGCAAAGTTGTTACTAGATATTTTCCCTTGGCAGAGAAATCTGGCACAGCTGATAGAAGAAAAGAACTTGAGGTAACCTGTTGACATCCAAACAATTATGGACTACTCCAGCCTATGCTTTGCTTGTGACTGCAAGGGAAGCTCCACCGCATGTTCTGTAACGTCATGTCAGAATAACATCACTGATAGCCAGCAACACTGCTGCACTGCAACTTACCTTCCAGAAGAATTAAGCAGTAGTTTCATACTAATGGGACTGAGTACCTGTGTGTCACCATGGCAGAGGCACTTTTCTATAATGCAGTCACTCTTTAAATAAGCAGCTGGAGTTTCCTGGCAACCCTGCTGTAACTGCTGCTAAATAGTTCCTTGATCTTTGGCCCTCAAACAGGAAATACTGGGATGAAACTTCTGAACACAGCTCCTTTCATAATCCAGCCTCACTGCTGTGACTGTCAACAAAGGAAGGTGGAATGACACTAATTGGGGCAGTCCTGAGTCTTGTACAGATTTGTGGGCTCCTTTCTCATAACACTGACAGCTTTAAGGGGCAGCTGAAAACAAGTTCCTTAGTGCTGGCATTGCCAGGTCAAAAGGGGACTTGGCAGTATAGGGGTCATGTTCACCAAACTTGTACCATTACCCTATAGCTCATTTGTGTTTCCATTTCTGTAGCTATGGAGGAGAGAGCAATTCAGAGGGCAGAACGGAGGAGGAAACTAGAAGAAGCTAAACAACAAAGAGAAGATGAAAAATTGGTATGGACAGTGGGAAAAATGAAAGACTTCCACGCTATTCTAATGACAAGAAATGCTGTTCTAACCTCAAAAACCCAGGGACCAAGAAAAATCCCTTTAGTATCTAAATGGAGTTTTACAGGTTGTCAGAAAGCAAATGTCCAGCATACATTAAAAAAAAAAAGTTCCTGCTACACTCATATTCAGGGAACCCACTAGCCTTTCCATATCACATATCACTTTGTGTTGATGCAGCTGCAATTCTAGAAGCAGTCTCCCTCAACACCCTCCAGCACTTTTTCACACTTACTTTATGACCTTAACTGTCCTTGCCAAGGATGGGAAGAGTGCAGAGATCCACTTGATTGGACCTGGTAAATGATGAGTGTTCCTTTTTCCTGCTTTCCCTTTCTGGTCACATGCAGCTTGAAAACATGCAGTCTAACCTAGTAAAAATCCTGTATCTTGGTTTCTAGCAAATCTCTGCTGAAAGGAGAAGATACTGATAATGTTTACATAGTTAATATAGAAATTCCATGATACACATCTAACAGAGGAGCCTTCTTAGCTTCAAGGCATTAATTAAATCTGTTACTGAGAGCATTAATACTAATTTGCATTAGGAATAGAAAGCTAAGAACCAGGATCCTAAAACAACCAGTGTTTCTTTCTTCTTCAAGCAAGAAGATGCACATGCATACTGGAAACTTAAGCAAGCATTAGATATTGCTTTAACCATAGGGTGGGCAGACAAGCTTTAGGTTAGGTTTCTTCAGCTACTGCTGTTGTGATCGTAGAGATTAGAGGAAGCACAGTGATTGCAATCATGCATGGTGGTGTGGGTTTTAGACCTCTGATGCACATGCCAAGAGCAAGAGCTTTGTGAATGAAAGCAGGCTGATACTGACAAGGGTCATAGGTGAATATTAACCTAGAACTAAGAAAGATTGCCACATATGGGTAGTAGAAAGAACAATCTTTCCTTCCTCTCTCTCCCACGCAGTTCTTTGTCCAGCATGCATCATGTCTAGTATGTGACAAAGTCTGCTTCTTTCTGGAGTTTCAGATACTAGTCAGTACTAGCAGAATACTGCCTGTCCAGGGGAAGTTTAGAGGCCCGTGTTCTTCAAAAAGGGACACTGAACTAAGTTGTATCTATTTTGTGCATTCCAAGGCCCAGCTGAAGGCTGAAGAGGAAGCACGTCAGAGGAAGGCGGCTGAGGAAAAGGAAGCTCAGCAAGAAAAAAGACGAGAGCAGAAGAGGCAGCAGAAGCTGGTGATCAAACATGTCATCTGTCTCCCCAATTTCAGTAAGGATAGGGAATAAGAGCCATTACTCATTTGCACTCAGTCAGCAGCCAGTGCTGTGAACTAAATATCTTTGTTAGTAGAGAAGCATTCCACAGCACCAGATACATCAACTCACCACCATCTCCCTTTCTAGCAACTTTAGAAGGGCTGTTGGCCAAATGCATGAGGTATATACTGTCCCCATCTCAGCAGCCAGACTAAAGGTCCCACATAGTAAATGTCCAGTTCTGAGCCATGGCCACGTAACCTGCAAAGAGGGGGTGTGTTTGGACTATCCTCAGGCTGTTCCTTCCAATTGTAGACTCCTCCAGCAACACAACAATACCAACCACAAAGACACAATTTAGAAATAAACAAGCCTGACAGATGTATGAAGGGCAACCTTCCATCCAAAGAATGAGAAGCATCCCCACCTTGGAGCTCGCAATATCCAGCAGCCTGGGAATAGCCCCACATCAATCTCATTACTTACAAATGAGCTGCCCTAGTAACCCAAACAGCACCACACTTGAAATCCCACAGGAATCCAATCTATAAATACTGTTCTACTTGGACCATTTTAGAATGTTTGACCTTTAACTCTGTGTCTCAACCAAAAGTAATACTGTACAGTTACATAATACCCACATACCTTCCCTATTCTTCTATTCTTCAGTGTTTAAGCTAGATTAAGTGATGGGTTCCATGGATAAAACAATCATTTTTGTATAGGTTTCCAGTCTAGTTTCATAAACACAAATAGCTACCCTTTGAGCTCACCTCTCTTCAATTTGATGAGGGCCCAGCAGAAGGAGGTTGTTACCTCAGTGCTGCTGGCAGCCACAGATTATATGGAATGTTACTGTAACACCAGATTGCATTGCTGGGGGAAGGCCCTGTGTTCACATATGGCCCAAGGAAATGTCTAGATATATCATCTTCTTCCATGAGGATTTTCAAGACAGCTTGCTTTCTTCTACTGGTTCGTGTCTAGTTTGCACTGCTAAAGATAACACAGACCCTTACTTCCCATCAGGAGCTCCAGCTCCAACACAACAACCTTAAGGTTCATTTCATCCAGACTGAATTAAAACTACTGCTATTCGTATTGTAGAAAGAGCTGGAGAAGCAAAGAAGGCTGGAGAAAGAGCAACAGCTCCAGAAAAAGGCCAGAGATCACTATGAGAAGGCCCTACTGAGAAAACTGGGAATGGTGCCATGGAAGAAGCTAAGGGAGCAGGCCATGGAAAGCATGATGGTAAGCACTGTGAATAAAGGAAAGGTCTGGCGCCATGGGAGGAAGGGACAAAGAACAGATGTAGCAGAAACCTTAATGGGCTTTTAGGACAAAGCAGAAATTCTTGCACACTCTGCCCTACATTGAGGCTTTAAATGATCTCATATGACAATAATCATGAAAGGTCATCACAATTGTGGGGTTTTTTTTTATATGTCCTCATTTATAGCTGGTTAAACAGGAGCCGAGAGTGAAAAGAACAAATCTCAATCTAATGAAAAGTCACCTTTTGTTAGTTTACACTTGCCTGCAATATTAACTGCCACTTAACTCAATGCCAGTAACACAGTAGAAGTTAGTTTAGCCCCCTCCCCCAAAAAATAAAGCAAAAAAATAAATAAAATTGAAGTCATATGATTTGAGCCTGTCAGTTCTTTTGCACCACAGATCACAGCAAAGCTAGTTAGTAAGATACTGCCAAGCCATTGTATTTAGTTAATGCCAGCCCATCACTAGGAGTTTCATTCTCCCTGGCAGCAGTGCTGACACAGTGTGGGGTACTGCTTGAGGTAAGACACATGTGATAATCCAAGTGACCAAAAGTCACCTCTTCCAGCCTTGCCACACCTTCAGTGGAGAACAACTAATAGCTTCTGAGATCCTGACACATACATCTTGATAATGAAACATTTCTGTATGTGACTGAGTTGGCATGCCTTACCAGTAGTAGATAATAATAAACTTTATCCTGAATATTTAGCCAAAGCCCAGGGCTAAACTGGCAAGCTTCCATTTTTAGTCACAGGAGCTACTTACAGTATTCAATCCAATTCACATAGGTGTCCAGCTGGGAAGAAGTAGAGGGATAGCAGATGCTCTGGAAGTCTATCCTGCTGTTCAGCGTTAAGGATTGGCTTAGACTAAATTGCTAGGCAATGCCTCTGCTCCACAACAGGTGAAACTGTGTATCAAATTCAAAAGGATTTTAACTAGGAAGGACTCAGCATTCCCTGCTTTTGGGAACTTACCGTGCAAGTTGCTCCAGTTGTCAGACAACTGCATTTTAGGGATCCCCAAGAGCTGGGGTAATATAATATTGTATTTGGTTTTCAGGACACACACACTATTCCATGTAACCAGCTGCCTTTTCTGTTGCCTTTGTTCAGGTGGCCCAAAGGCACTACTGCTCGAGTCTGCAGAGGAAATGCCTGATGAATTGGTTCCAGCACACCCAGGAGAGACTCATGGAGAAGGTGTCTCGGGCTGAGGGCTTCTTCTCCCACACACTGATCAGATGGTGCTTCAGGAACTGGCTAAAGGTTTGCCTTCACAACGGAGAAACAACACCAAGGGAGCCTGCTGCTGCCATACTTTCCCATCATCACACACTTGTTTACAGACTTGCAGCCCAGCCTTTGCTGGGTTATGCTGTCCTCGTTCCAGCACCACCATTCCCTTCCTCAGAGACCTTCTTTCAGCTCTACACTCTCCATCTTTCTCTTCAGTTTAGGACACTCCTACACTCCCCATATCCACCTCTACACACTCTATCCCTGTTACCCACTGATTTCCATCCGACTCCTGTTCCAGTTACCTTTTACAGCCACTGTCTCGGTGCTGCTCTGTATGTGTTTATTGGGATGGGGAATTGTGAAGAAGCTGCCATTCTTACCTCTTTCTGTCTTCCTCCCCCAGTACAAAGATTACTTCTCCACTCTGGAGAAGAAAGCAAGTGCTTTCCATGCAGTCTGCCTCAAGAGGAAGTCTTTCTGGGCATGGTTTGATCTGATCATGGAGGAAAAAAGCACCTTAAAGGAGAAGCTAAAGATTGCTACTGAACACTGTAACAAGTAAGCACATTCTCTTACCAGCAGTTTTTTTTTATACACAGGTTTAATTCCACTCCACAGAATATTTTAGAGACTCTGCTTTTGATGGGGCAATGATCCTCTCCCCAGCATTATGTGAAGTGGGTTATATACTGCTGGTGTTTTGTTTCTGTGATATGAACAGACAACATCAGCAGAGATTTATAGTTGAAAAAAAAAAAAAAAAAAAAAAAAAGTCCATACAGCCCAGAGAAGGAAGTTTAGTCATATCCTTTGCAGGACTTTTAAACCTGCTGGAAGAAAATACAGTGAAAGCAGTTAAGTGGCTGAAACTTTCTAAGCTAATTAGCAGATTGGGCCATGCAGCTTCCTCTAAACTCAGAAAATCTTTAAGTACAGTTATTCCAAGCAATGATTGTGCGGGAATTACATTATATTGTTTCATCCACAGTGAATGATTTGGTTTACAAATTCAGAGTTGATTAACTAGAAACCCTACTTAGGGAATCATTCTGTTTCTGCCATCATGAGCCTGATTTGACAGGAAAAAACACAGCAAACAGTTCTACCGATCACAATTGGAGCTAGATGCAGCCATTTCACTCATTGTCCCACAACTGCATCAACTGTGCATTTGAACAGGAAGAAAAGAACTACTGTCAGAGTTCAGCAGAAAACAGAAACATGCTTACCTACCTGACCACAAATGTATGTCAGCCACACAGTCACCGATAGGGATGTACTTGTGTACACCTCAAACAGGATCTGCCAGGATCACCTCTTACATAATATAGTGAAGCTGTTCTACCTTGCTAAGTCAGTAGGGCCAGAACAAGGCATGGTTTAACTCAACAAACCAGCAAACTGGAGGAGTCAAGGAGAATTCAGATGCAGGAAGAGTCTGGATTGATTTTACAGCATGACCTGAATTAGGAGCATAGTCACATGGTTTGCCTCATCACCTCTTCCTCCAGTGGCTGGCAACAGGCAGTTGAGAGCTCAGCAGTGAGCTGTTCCTTAAAAGGGATGGTTGCTCTCCATAGAACACGTGGGAACCCAAAGCAAAGTACATTGGTGAGGTGCTTAAACTCAGATAAGAAATGGAGTCCCACTGTCTGTGTTCTCACACAGTTGACCTGGACTGAACAAACCCATATTTTCCATTCACGCTTCCCCTGAATAAGTTGCTTTCAGAGACCCTGTTTATCCTTTAAGAAACATCTTTTGTCTTCAGAGCGCTGAGCACACACAAGCTAATGAATCTTGTCAGAGAGAAGAGCAAAATCCTTGCGGGAGAAGGATGGAGAATGGCAATGTGTTATTTTTCCCTGGGATGACTGACATATTAATGAAATGGCATACATGTACACGTTCAAGGTGTCACAGTTCTAACTAGCTGCAGCAAGGTCAAATCCCGCAGGTATTTCCGGGGAATTTCCCCTCAAATAGAGGTCATCTTTTATCTGGTCCTCTAAGTAAACATCTAGGGACTGTTCTTTATGTTCATCATTTCTTTCAGGAGACTCATTCTTGATGCATTCAAGGCTTGGAGGCAGTACCCACTACTGATGAAAAAGGAAAGAGAGAGAGAGGAAAGGAGGAACCACCTACGAAGGAGAGTGGCTGAAATTCTTCCTGACTTCCAAACATGACAGAAGAAACTGAAAGGAGACTGGGAAAATGGACAAAAGGTCTCATTCTGTTCAGTGCTATCTTTCTTCCAGCTGAAACAAATTCAAGATGAAGTTCTGTTCAGTGAAAATGGTAGTCTTACAGCCAAAGCAAGTTCCCTGGGGCCAAACCAAACGTACATGGAACTTAGTTTGATGTTTTTACTTTGGACTTGAGGGAGAATTCTTCCCTATGAGATCTTCCCATGATGAAGTCTCCATAGGGATTTATGGGCTGGTAGCAGCAAGGCCTAGGTAGCCACAGCATTTCAAGCTGAGACCATTTCTGCACTCAAAAGCTGCGGCGCTGACGCTAATCCACCCCAGCTCAGGAAGCGGAGAACTGAGATGTATCTATTAAGCAGAAACCTTGGTGCTTTTCTGTTGCCAGTACTCCACAGAATGACAAATTGACCAGAGAGCAAACAGACTTGACTATCAGCTGATCCCTGCTAACCGCTGCTGTGAACTTGGCCACACAAAGAACAGATTTTAGCTAATTGTGCCAGGGAAGTTTGGATGGGAGGAGAAGAAAGAGCTGTTTGTGCAAATCCTATTTACTAACAGACTAGATCACAGCATCACATATGGATAGTCTAAAACCTGGACTTTTACAGTGTCTAGTTTGTAGTGCTGTCCAGTTCAGAGGCATGGTGCTTTGATTTTGGTGGCAAGCGGTTACTCCAGGTTTATGAACCTCTTATGATCCCCTCCTACCTAAGCCATTCTAAGATCATCTAGTTCCAACCCCCTGCCAGCCATCACATCTGGCTGCCCAGAATCCTAGCCAACCTGACCTTGTATATCTCCAGAGATGGGGCATCCACAACCTCTCTTGGCAGCCTGTGCCAGTACCTCATCACCCTCTGAGTAAATAAAAAATTCTTCCTACCATCTAACCTAAATCTATCCTCTTTTAGTTTAAAGCCATTACTCTTGTCCTGTCACTATCAGACTGTGTAAAAAGTCAGTCTCCCTGCTGCTTCTGACCTCCCTTCCTGGAAGACCACAATAAGGTCTCCCCAGAGCCTTCTCTACTCCGAGCCAAACAAGCCGAACTCCCTCAACCTTCTCTCATAGTAGAGGTGCACCAGCCATTTGATTATCTTCATGGCCCTCCTCAGGACTTGCTCTAACAGTTCCACATCTTTCTTATACTGGGGACCCCAGGCTCAGACACAGCACTGCAGATAGGCCCTTGTGAGTGCACAGTAGAGGGGAATAATCCCCTCCCTCTCTCTACTGGCCATTCCTCTTTTGGTGCAGCCCAGGATTCCATTGGCCTTTTGGGCTGCAAGCACACACCAATGGCTCGTGTCCAGCCTTTTGTCCCTCAGGACTCCCAAGTCCTTCACAGGGCTACTCTTAATGAGTTGTTCTCCTAGTCTGCACTTGTATATGGGATTGCCACTCCCCCAAAACATCACACTTGGCCTTGTTAAACCTCCTTAGATTCTCATTTGCCCACTTCTCAAGCATGTCTAGGTCCCTCTGGATGGCATCCCTCCCTTCTGTTGTGTCCTCTTGCTTCATGTCTGTCACATAAACATTCTCCAGGCTGGTTCACTGTAATATTTAAAGATTCATTGTGCAAGTCTGTCTAGGCCCTTCCACTTGACCCATACCTCAAACAAAAAAAACGCTGACTGTTTTTACATAAGCTAAAACTGACATAATCAAAAGGAAGGTTTCTCTTAACTCTAACCTTAACCTGCAGCATAGTGCAGATACATTAATGCAGCTAAGGTACGGTATGTCTTTTCTTCAGCAGTAGCATAAGGGAGGAATCTGGAAATGCTTTCCCCCCAAGATAAGTGAAGTTGTCTCCAAAATAGCTTGGCAATATGGAAAATACCAGGGCAAAGCAAGGAAGGTGGCAGTTTACCGTTATCCACTGTACTGGATAATTTTCTTAATCCTGTATATGCACTGAACGTTTTCGGTAAACCCAAATCTGAAATGAACATAACCAGGTTTTCAGTATCAATGTGACAGAAGCTGACTGAATGACTGGAGTCTGTGTCTAGGGAACGTGGACCAGAGCTAAGCACTATTGATTAAGCAGTGCAGGATAGGCCAGTTTCCAAAGCTTAAGAAGCTTTAGTTTCAGAAGATAGTCTGTCCAGAGAGCCTCCCCTCTCACACAAGTTGGGCTGCCCAACTGACTGAGTGTCTTTCTGAAGACGTCTGCTATGCCCAGCCTGCCTCCCTCCCAAGAATGTTAACATCTACCACTCTCCCTACGGCAAATGACAGACCTGACCACCAACAGGTCAGATGAGCGTGCTATCCAAGTGCAGGGAGCTGAAGGTGCCCACACAGAGCGTGGGCGAGTACAGACCATCTGGCTGCATTAAAAGCAGATTGTGAGAGGAAGCTACAAGCTGAGAGGGTAGAATAACTCATCTTGCAGAGGGGGAAATAGGCACTGCAGAAGGATGGTATCTCTTGCAGAGGACTGAGCCAAAGAGGCTAGCCATAGGCTAAGCAGAGCTAAGTCTCTCACATGTTAAAAGGGTACTGCATATCACCAGCTGCTCAGGAGTGCATCTAGTTTACTGAACTGTGGATTCTTCCTCCAACAATGCCATAGTTGTGCATTTTGTGCCCACTCACCAGCCATGAAAATAATGCTGCTTCTGTAGAGCATGACTGTACTTTAGGTGGAGGGGGGGGGGGGGGAATGACGGGTGAGTCAGCACTTGCTTTTGAAGAGTACTGAAGACAAAGACCAGTCTTATCTTCTGGGGTTTTCTTCTATTCTTAGTAGTTCTGACCAAGGTTCTCCCACTGTCCCAAGATGGTCTTCTTCTGTATTGTTCTGGCAGCAAAAAGCCAAAAGAAGATCCAGGAAGGTGTACGTCAGCACCCGTTTTGTCATTGCTGCAGCTAATCCCATAGAAAAAGGCATTTTCACTTCGGTACAACAGCAAATTCAGAACCGTAATCTGATCACAAGCTGCCCTTCTCCTTATCCCCATTCAACACCTGCCCTGCTGAGTTCTTTCATGTCTTCCCAAAAATCCTTGACTGCACCCAACACAAGTCTGGCTACTGCTGCTGAAAAGTCTTCATTGTCAGCAAGCACAAAGCAATCTTCAAAGAGACACTGCTGAACAGCTGAGAGAAATGCCACCAGGCAAATCAAAGCAGAGCTCCGGGAACAATCAAAGGCACCTGTTACTCTATTCATCAGAAGTCATCTTGCCTTTCAAAAGATGTGTCATTTGATCCTTTTGGTATCTTGGGACACATCTCCCCTCTACCTGCACAAAAAATATCCATGTTGTTTCCAAGCATGGCTTAGAAAAGAGTTTAAAGGAAAAAACAGTTCCTTTTCAGGGTTCTAGATGTACTGCAAGGGCAGGTACAGGAGAGAAACCAAGACATCGGATGGCATTACTCTAAATTCAAGGCCCTGGTTCAAACCCCCACTGGAGGGAGTATTCCTAACTTCTGTGGTGAGAGCCAGCCAAGTCTGTTTCATCCCAACATGAAAAGATTTGAATGTCAATAGTTGAAGAACTGCAAGAATATCTATTTCCAAATGCCTCCTTAGCCTGCTGCTCCCTTGTTCCTATGTCCACTTCACAGCTAAGTAGCTAGGAGATGGTGGCACATTTTGGATGTTTGACCTGGCTGTGGGCATTGGCATAAATCAAGAGGCAACTTCACAGATAATGTCTGATAGTTTATTTTGATTTATCATTGCATCTATTTGAAATCACTGGATACAGTATACTGTGGACACATACACACACACCAGTCGTTTCATCAAAGCTCACAAATGTTTCAGGAAATTCTTCCTAAAGCTTTGGCAGGGGGGAAAGAAAAACCAAAACAGAGACAAGAAAAATCTCACAAGACACACTCCACTCTCCAAGGCAAACAGTTCTTCCAGAGCATGTCATTCTTAGTACTGTAATTAAATGCATGAAGATTTTGGGAGGCTTCAGAAAGAACCTCACCTGTCCAAAGATTTCTGTTGTACAAACACTCTAAAAGAAGAAAATCTTAATAAAACAAGAGTTCTTCATTGAAAGCAATATAGGAAAACATCCATAATCACACACGCTTTCTGCCCTAACGAGGCAATATACATTCATATAGAAGGAAAATGTCAAGCACATTATTAAGACTTTAGGCAATGAGGCAGTATCCATTTTAACTCTAGAAGAACTTTTATAGCAAATGGTTTCCATTAAGACACTTTAAAGCAACCTACTTCAGAAAAGCACCATCATAGCATGAAGGTTAAATATGAGAAGAAATCACAAGCAGCACCAACTTGGGCTCACCAGTGACTCTTGTCATCTGAAGACAAGTTAAACGGAGAAACAATGTACGTAGGGACCTATGACTAGGCTACAATGAGCAGCTCAGTTTAACATGACAAAGTTAAGAGTGCCAAGCCACCATTTACACAGTGTATCTAATGATGTACAGCTCTTAGTACAGTCGCCAAACAACAGGGTGCTAGTATTTGTACATAGGGGGCTTAACACTGGGACAGCAGCAACATTAGAACCCTGGCCCTTCTATAAAACCAAACCAGTCATGAAACAACAAAAGGTCATGGTTAAAGCAAGATCCACCCATTTCTAAGTTTGGGTGAAGAAACATCAAGGCTAGATACCATTCAAATACTTCCCTGCTTCTTATTGTCCCTGGGTACTCTCACACAGAAAACTCTGAAACAACCAGCAGCGTACTGTTTTCTTATTGTCACACTGATGCATGCTGTTTACTGGTTTTATGGACTGACTCTCCAGCCCTACCAGGCTGCTCTAGTTTTTAGCATTTTCTTCCCAGCACAGCAATAAAATTTAAAACAAAAACTGCCCTTTCATGCACAAGATATCACAGCAGTCTGTCTACATTATAAGTGAAACAGGAAACGTTGCCCTTTAAGGTCTTAATTCTGAAGGCTGTTAAAAGGAGAGCTCCAGTGCATACATCTGAAGCTTTCAACACTTCCACCCTTTCAGATCTCCACCATCTCCAAAGGTATGCACAAGGTAAATTCTCTCAGCAAGAAGCCAGGAGGATAAACAATAGCCATGTCCTTAAAGGAAAAGCCACCACTGCTATGCAGACTACAGTGAAGTGAGCTTCCTGCTCACTGGGAAGTCAGCACTGCACTCCCCTCATACAAAAACCCGGTCTTGCAAGCATTTCATTGTCCTGAATGATTCTGACTCTCTCTGGATAGGATGCCAAAATAGAACTTAGTTTAAGCACTTTACCCTATATATTGGAGTGGACTTGATCAAGCTTGGCAGGGTTACAATAACCCAAGGTCCTTGATACCTAATTTGCACTCAAGCTCACACTGACAATTCCACTGAGAAAGCCTTGGTATAAGTAGTTTAAATTTTCCCACACCAGAGTTCATTAAAAAGCAAGGGACAAGGCTACACTGATGTGCAGCTGCAAATAATGAAAACCCACCCATGGGAGAGAATAAGTACAACAGGGTCAGGTGATTGCCAGGGGAATGAATCTGTCACCTGCCCAGCTCTGCTTTCTTCCAGAGCAGAACTCTGAAAAACCACTTATCTCAAATCTGTGAGCACTCCCAGAGCTTGTTCAGTTCACAGGCATGATTGATGTCTGTGTGTGTAACTCAGAGGAGCAGAAAGGTTGGCTACCTTCACAGCAGGGGTTTAGTCCAGGAGCTCATTCTGGCTTCATCTTCCCACATGGCAGCAGAACAAGGTTTGGGAAGATCACAAGCCTGCTAACCCTGGCTCCAGGGTTGCCAAGCTTCAGCTCATCTCAGCAGGCACTGCAAAAGGCATATGTTCTACAGAAGCATTTACAGACAACTCACACAGAGGAGAGATCTTTGCGTAAAGCTAAACTTCTAAGGTCAGACTCCAGCTCCAAACAATGAGAAGATCATGCTTAGCTGCCAGAGAAATAGAGTCTGGTTGAGTGCCTTTCACTTCACACTAGTGCCAGGGAAGTTGTCAGAAATCTAAGTGTGTTAGACAAGAGGCAGGAAGCACAAGAGGTGCCTCCTTTACTTCCTGTAAAGAGCTGGTCACTAGTTGAAAAGGGGTAAGAAGAAACAAAGGATGCTCAGTAAATCAGTAGCTGTTTGTGAACAGCCACATTCCAAGCACAGCTGCTCCTTGGTTATCTGCTGGTTATAGAAGTTGTAGGTGCCACTTAAGGAAAACAAACAGTGCAAAGAAGTGCATGCCCTTTACCTTAAACTGGGACACACACTCAGGAGCATACACACCAAATATGGCAGGGATCTCAAGGGGCAGTCCCAGTTCTGCTGTCCCTTAGCACCATGTACCATCTCTTCTTTAGGGAATATGCACAACAGTGCACACTGAATTTGCATCACACAAGCAACACCCCTTAACTGCTTACCACACAAGCGGAAGCAGGGCAAGTTTGATCTGTGAAAATTGCACACGTATCTGAAGGCATCATTAACTAAGATGAGGCTCTTACCACTGCTTCTGCATCTTAGGCTTAAGCCATAACTCTCATGCCACAGCCCCAGACTTTTCCAGCCAGACGTTTCTGCAGGGTCAACACACAGAAAGGATTTAAGATGAAAAACAACCCAAAAGGGTAGAAGCCATCACCACTAAAACCTTGTGATTTCAGCTGAAGCTCAAGTCTAGGCAATAATACAGTTGCAGGCTGCTGAAAGACATGCAGCCTTCTTGCAGAACAGAGTTAATGCTTTCATCTACGTGCACCTGTGGGTCATCTACCCCAAAAGCTGCCAGCTCCAAAGCATCCTCTCCAACTCTTTACATATGCAGACACCAAAATTCCTCAGCTTCCTGGCTTGAGAAAACCACAGTCAGGCACCAGAGCAACTCCCCGGTGACTGGGTTCAGAAAAGACCACATCATTCTTATTAGCAACACAACTAATCAAAATGTTGCTTACAAAAACTGTTAGCAACAAAGTCAATTCTCCCACAGACTCTCTCCTCCTTGAGAGGGAGGGAGTAGGGCAGTTCCTGTAAAACAACAGCATCAGGCAGCAGTCTGTTCTCCCCTCACAATCAACCATCGTGTTTCTTCAAAACATTTTCCTTCTTACTCCGTCTATTTACACCTGCTGTCTCATGTCAGCATCCATAATCAGAGCAGAAATATTTTGAGGGAGATGAGACAAGCCATCAAACCAACACAAACTCAGCTTACAAAAAAGAATGATGAGATCAAAGATGACACTCTTCTCACCCAGTCAGAGAGACAGGTCAAGTGACAAGAGGATCTTACAATACCCTACAGGAATGTTGCTCACAAAGGCACTTAATACAAGCAGTAGCATGTATACAGCTAGATGGGATGGAAGAAAAAGAAAAATGCACCAGAGATGATGGAGCACTCAGTGACTGCCTGAGCAGTCTTTTTTTTTTTTTTCTCCCCAACTAAACAGCATGGCTTCTGCACCAGTCCTTCTGTTTTCTATATTAAAAGTTTGCTCTTCTAACAACACTGAAGCGTTGCATGTAGGTACAAGCCAGAGATTCCTCACGCTGCAAAAAACAGCATACAGTCTGAAATCCAACAGCAGGTTCCCACTGATGCCAGAGTTCATACCTAATGAAAACTCAAGTTTTCATAACCTTGTGCTCTTCTTCCTGTCGAGCTGCACAAAGTTTCCCACAGTGCAAAAAGGCAGCGGGTTCCCACTCTCCAGGTTTGTGCATATGGCTTACTGCTTTCCGCATCCTATTGCTGGCTGATGGCACACAAAGAACCATTTCTGCTTGGGAAAGCCTCTGATGTCTGCGATGGGATGGGCAGCCCATACACCGACCACAAAGGAAAGGTGTAGAGGAGGAAGTTCTAGTGGAAGGGGCTGTTCCCCTGCTAAGGAAAGTCAGTCAACGTCATCTGCACAAAAAAGGGTGTCATACAATGTCTTCAGCAGAGCGCTGCTGGTGGGGAGAGCCCAGACTCAAGAAATGGCCCCAGTTGCATAGAAAGCCCCTGTTATATTGGCCAGTGTCTATCACTAACCCACCCAGGAGCCTGCGCCCAGCGTTGTCCCGCAGAGCCAGCCGAGCTTCCCTCTCAGTCACGTTGTAGCTGATGTTCAACAGCTGGATAAGGAGGATGTATCCCATGCCAGCTGTTACAATTGCACAGTACCACACACAGGTGAACGACAGAGCAGAGCTGGCAGCAGGGAAAAAGATGGGAAGGAAGCCGTTTAGTTTTGGAGCAGCTGCTTTACAGTGACTTTCCCTGGTAATCACTAGCCTTTCAAATCCCTGTCTACATCTGCCACAGTGATCTCACTTTGCTGCTTTCGTCACATAATCCTTGAAGGCTTTCTCAAAATTAAAGCTTTGTGGCATATTTAATGACAGCTTTTAGTGCTAGCAGAGCTACCCTTGCACATTCCTTTGGTACTACCTAGCGCTTTGCTCTTAGTGCTGTGAAGCCCTTACTTAAGGAAACAATAGAGCTCATGCTTGACAGATGATGGAGTACAGAAGAAGGCAGAGTCACTCGTGCTGCCGTACTCTATACGCCAGTGGTAGAACGAGCCTCTGAACGTGTGTTTGAAGCTCCTCACCCTGCTCCCAGCCAGACAAGGCACATTAACGCTGCACGAGCAGATAACTTGAAGTGACAAAGCCATTAGACAAATGCCATCTCCTTCCTCAGTGTGAGACAGCATACCGAATCCAGACTGTTGGACTATTGGCATTAACAAACATCTAAAGTGTCTGTCTACGCAGGACACTAAATAAAGATTTTTAAGTCCAAGCTTCTTCACCAATTTGCTCAAATTGTGAGCTCTCTCACAGGCTCCCATCCTTGGCAAAAGCAGAGATGCATCCCTGCTTTCCAGAGCCATTTAAGGAGCACTTCTAGATTAGGTCTGACAGCCAATAGCACTGGCCCTAAGAACAAAATGAAGAACAGCTAAGGAGCTAAGCTGCCTGGTCAGGCCTGAGTTCCCCACCCAGTTCTCTCACCTGTAGTCAGAATAGGCCCCAGGGCAGTAGAACAATGCTGTGAATGGGGTTCGTCCCCTGCAGATGGTGTCCAGGGTCAACATAATCCCATACAGAGAGGTGAGCATGAAGAAGAACAGTGCAAGGACGAATGCTTGATGGTTCTGCTCCCCTACACAGCTGTTAATCCTCCAAAAAGGAAAGAAAAAAAGATTACTTTAAGGGGAAAAAAAATAAGCTGGCTTCTCTTTCCTCCTCCTTCCCCCAGTCATCAGAGAACCTGATTTCTAAGGTCTCACCGCAACACAGGCAGCTTCAAAGCAGCTTAATAGCTTTTTATAGAAAGCTTATAGGCACAAATCAATAGACCAGTACGGCAGGAGTGGTGAATTGTGTACCCCAGGAACTTTCAGGTATCCATAGCTGAAACACTCATACCCTGCTGCTCCTTGGTTACAACGCTGTAGTGATGACAGCTTTGGGTTCCCTTCACACATGAAAAGCAACCCCATTTCATAGGGTCTGGGAGAAAAGAAAAAAAAAAAAATAAAGCTATCTTAAAAGAAAGAAAAGAAACAGAAAACGCACATCTTCAGCAAAGCCAAACATACCAGACACAGTGATGATCCAGTCTCCTCACACACCTGCCACACAGCCGGCAGTGCCCTGCTCGGGCCGGCCTGACCAGCTGGCACTTGGCACACCAGTCCATTTTCCCACCTTCCCGCTCCTCAGCCAGCACTCTGGAGTAGCCTTTGGTCTCCCCATTCACAGAATGGCCACTGGCAGCAGCTCCATGGAGCCCATTGGAGCTCCCTCGAACATTCTTGTTGGGAAAAGCCTGCTGGGATGGCCTGTCATCACCCGCTGAGATGGGAAGGTAGCCAGGGTCCTTCTTGGCTCGCGACAAAGCCGCAAGCATAAGAATTAGCCCACAGGTGAGAAGCGTCACTTGGGAATACCCCACGTGGCCTCGAGGAACCACCTCCTGGAGAAAAACATAGTACATGTAGCCCAGGGAGAACAGTCCCAGGCTCAGGAAGAAGAGAGTCCGCTCCTTCCTCCTGTGCGTGAGGTAGTAATACCACAGCACCACGGCGGGAAGCGATGTCAGCACCACCAGCCCCAGCAGGAAGTGCAGAGCTGCGATATGCAGGAAGACGGGGAGCAGGACCATGGGCGGCACAAGGCTGACGTTAATCTTCACGGCCCCGGCAAACCAAGGGACGCGGCACCGATCCGCTACGGTGTCGGCGATTCTCTCCAGCGCTCCCGGGGGCAGGGATCTGCAGGTCAGCCACCTGTTCGGGAAAAGCGCGGGGCGTCGCTGGCGGGCGGGCAGGCGGGCGTGTATACGCACCTCTGCGGCGTTCCCTCTGCTCCCATCCCATCCCAGGGTCCGCCACCGCGCACCCAGCCCATCTTTCTCCCCGCTGATTCACGGCCGCTCGCCCCTGGTCCCCTCCTTCGCCGCAGGGGGCCGCAAAGTTCCCCGACGGCCGCTGAGAGCCGAGCCCCCGCTCCGTACCCGCCTCCACCGGAGCGCGGAAGGCAGCCCCGTACGCAGAAGGAAGGAAAGGGGCTCCCGGCTGTCCGCTCCCGCGCCCCGCGGGGCTGCCGGAACCCCGAGGGCGCCCAACGGCCGCCGGTTGAGGAGCAGCGCGCGGGGCCGCTACCTGTCGCAGCCCTCGTCGAGCTCCTCGCAGTCGCAGCAGCACGCCGCCAGGTGGTTCCGCTCACCCCTCCGGTCCACGTACTCGCAGCAGCACAGCGGCTCCTCCATCTCCGCCCGCCTCGCCCCGGCCCGAGGGCGCGGAGCCGACGGAGGGAAAGGGACGGGAGGGGCGCGGCCGCACCTCTCACGCCCCTCCGCCGCAGGTGCCTCGCGCCCGCCCCCGCCTCCAGCCCGACGGCCCCGCCCCCTCCCGCCGAGCCCCCCCGCGATTGGCCGCCCGCTGCCCCGGCCCCTCCCCGGCGCGGAGGCGGGGGGTGAGGGACCCCCCCCTTCCCTCAGGGCCCGTCCACCTGACGGCGCGGCGGCCCAATGCCGGCACGAGAGGGGCGGGGCCGCCGTGACGTGACGGCACCTGGCTTAAAGAGACAGCGCAACAGGTGGCGGCCGCGGCAGAGCCTGCCGAGGGGTGGGAGGCGGAGGTCCCAGGGGACCTCCCCCGGGGAAAGGGAAAGCCGCTGAGGAAGGAAAGGGCTCAAAGAAGGTAGGGTTATCGACATTACAGAACAGTTGGGATTGGAAGGGACCTCCAGCGATCATCTGATCCACGCCTCCTCCTTCCTGCTCAGTTAATTCATTATAGAAATACTCATCCTTGGAGATGGTGACTTCTTGTTACAGGCTCCACCTGTCTGAAAAGGGATATCAGTAACCTGTGGGTGTGGAACCTCTACCTGCTCCTCTCCTCCAAAGCACTTCTGGTTGGCCGTGGCTCAGGCTGACACCACTAGGACTCCTCCAGCACAAAGGCAGCACTGCTGAGGACCTTCCCTCTCCTCCAGTAACCAGCAGCACAGCTGCCTTCTGAATGTCTGCTACCCACAGATCTTGCTTTGAGCACAGGGCTGGCAGTGAAGGCCAATCACCGAGCTACAGGAGCGCAGAGCCCCACTTCTTCTAGAAACCTTTATTCCATGAAGCTTTTGAGCCAAAATAGAAAAAAAAAGAGTCCAAAGATGGTTACAGTCCCTACTCCACAAGTCCTTAAACACACATCTTGTCTTCTGAGGTCCTGACTCGCAACCTGCTGTGGGCATTAACTCTCAGTCTTGCTGCTCTGTGTCTTGTTCAAGTGATCAAAGCTTCTTTGGAGCATGGAAAGGGAGAGCTTGAGCTGTGAAGAGAAATAATTGGGGAGCACAATGTGTTAAGTCTGTCTGCTGCAAAGGTCAGGAGTATTGCTAAATTCATGTCTCCCTGCTTCTTTCCTTTTAAGGATTCCATGTGATTTCCTCCTCCCTCTTCCTATAAAGAGCTTAAGAGCTGCTGTAGTGTGCTTTCTTAACAGCCATGCTCTGTGCAGTTTATAATTACCAACAGTACCATGTGATAAATCTTAACATCCCACTAGACAATAGCATGGAAAATAATCTGCCCCACTCATTTTTAGTCACAGATGATGTTCATGGAACATCAACTTTCATATTTTCATACCCAGCCCTCCCAGTGCATTTTGCTGCAATTAGATTACTGACACCTCCAAGGAAATAAGGTAACAGAACAGTAATGTGTCACAACTTCCCAACATGTTATTTGGGATGAAATAGGTGGCCGAGATCTCACTCCATCTTTTAGAGGTTTTCACTCCATGCCTGCATTCAAAAGGGTAATGCTTCAGAATTTGGAATTGTCTGGGCAGCAGGCAAAGAACCCCGAAGGGCAAGGAAGTGAATTTCCTGATTTCTTCAGTGCTTCAGCACTGGAAGCGTTTGAAGCTGTGATCTAAAGGGTTAACAGAGTTATAGCAATTTTGTGTGCAGAGACATGTCTAAACAAGAAATAGAAAAAAAAAAAAGTGTTTTTCTCTGCTCTCCTGTATTGTGTGGGAGAACACAGAGCCAACTGCTGATGGATAGAGGTACATGTGAACTCCTCCACAGCTTTCCTAATCTAATAATTTCTTCTGCCACATTTTAAGATTTATTAAAAGAACTGAAAACCAGAATATTCACAGGCTGTAAATACAAACAATGTATGCATTTACTGTCCTTCACTTGCTGAACTGCAATTTCAGCCAAGGGATTTAAAGCTGTCTTGAACTTCAGGACCAGAGACTCACCCCACAACTTATTTGCAGTTTTTATACAATGTTTGTAGTACAAGAAGAGTCTGGAAATGCAAATCATTGGCAGAAAGGATTAACTCCATGGCTATGGAGCCTCTCAGAAATACATAGTCTGGAGAATTTATTTAGAAACATTTCACTGAAGGTTTACATGGCTTTCTGATACCAAGATTAAACAAAAGCTCTCACCAACAGGGGAAGGAAAAGCTCAGACTAGCCTGCGTGAAGAAACCCAGTGATGAGGTGAGCAAGTAGTTACGTTCTGAGACTTGAGAAAAGATTATCTGTTTTGAATAGTTCCAATCTTGCTTTGTCATGATTCAGAACTGCTTCAACAGACCTCATCAATAAAGGCACTTTACAGGTTTAAGAAAATTGATATGAACATTTAATTTTAGTCCAAAGACAGACCCATCAGAAACATGAACATTTCCTTCACACCAAATTCAGGCACAGGACAAAATTAGAGGCCAAGGAGGCACAGACTTCAGTTAGTATCAGAAAACATTAAAACAAAAGCTATTCTGGCATAAAAGGAAAAAAGCTTGAGCTGTTGAAAAAGTGAGTATCACAAGGAAAGCTGGGCAGACTTACCTGCTCAAGCATTTCAATTGAGTCTCTTAGTACTCCCTTCACGTGTTTAACCTGTTCCTTATCATATTGAGGGATCTCCTCTTTCGATCCCATTTCTGGGGATATGCTAGAAGAGATTGAGATCACATCAGAAACATGAAACAAGCACCTCTGTGCCTTCCTATCCAAAAAGAATTGCTCTGTGACCATTACTGTGACATTGCTAAAAAAAAACCATTTTTCTAAAAGCTGCAGAAAAGGTGTCAGCAGTTGATTTTCAGTTCCTTTTTACTTGAAGATACTGCCTCAGCCCTTTGCAGACAACAATCACCAGAAACAGATGTGCTCACATAATGCCTGCAAATCTTTCTATGAAAGAAGTTACTCATATCAACTCTGAGATCTTTGCAATGGGAGATCACTACACTGTCTCCATGCTCAAGACCAGGAAATAATTTATGCACGTAGTATAAGCAAATAAATAACAAGCAGCAACATCTAAGCCTATTCCATGTGCTTGAAAATAAAAGCCATCTAACACGAAGTTAGAAGGGGAGAGGGAATTTTGCACAAAAGCAGAAGCTAAGAAGCTAAGTGAATCTTTAACATTATATTTGAGATCATGCTGGCTTCACACAGGATGAAGCAAGTAATTCAGTTCAATGTTCAGCAATATGATATTCACAGAAGATGAGTCACAAGAATGTGATAAATGCAAGCTAAGGTTAACACTCCCCCCCCAAAAAACAAAGAAAAACACTTTTTCTTTAACAAGGACAATGCAATCAGAGATGTCACTAGATATCAGCATGGACTACAGAAAAGTAACAAGTTACAGCAGCTTTTGAAAACTCACCACCAAGATTCACTGTTTGAAATTCATTTGTTTCTATCAGATTCTGCAATAAACTGAGGAAGAATGAGAGCTAAGATCGTGAATTCAACTTACTTCAAAGAGCTCTCTTCCTGAAGCTGGACGTGATAGAGGGACTGAGCTGCATGCTCTATCTTTGACAGCTTGAGAAACAGTGTTATATTGAGCAAAACCAAGAGCAGCAAACTGTAGAGACCAGAAACATAAAGTCAGACAAAGTTTATATTACTGTTACAGTGCTACAGAAGGAAGAGCTGGGCTACAAACAACTAGGAAAAGAAAATCCTTCTGGGGCAAAAATAACTGCTCCAGCGCTATACTGAAAGTAAAAAACTTATCTAAATAATTCTTAGCAGTTAGCTTTAAGTTGTGTAATGCAACCTGTAGGAAGTGACAATAGTGCCTCCTCTTGGACCTTTCAGAGGTAGGAATGAATAAATTCTAAAAATTTTTTGTAGGCTCAGACATACAGAGACCTGAAAACTAGGCCAGTTTGACAAATCAGCATTTTAATTTTGCATGTCCTTTCTGAAATCAATGCAACCCTCTCTTCTACCCACAAGCTCCTGTATTTACACTCCTTATAGGTTAGGATCAGTCATGGCTACATGGAACATCAACATGCAGGTGAGGTAGGTACAGGCAAATAAAAACCAAGATAAGCTCGAGTTAAGCCACGTTTTAATGCAAGTAAGTACTTACAAGACACTCATTACTACAATGATGGTAGTGGTCCTACTAATAGCATCTCTTTTCCTTCCTATAGGACATGGAAGAGAAGGTGGTTAAAAAGTACTGAAGAACATTTCTAACGCATGTCTGCATATACACATCAGTGCTCACAATTTTATACAGAGTAGTGTGACATAGCAGATCACTTGGGTGCACAAGAGCCTCTCCAGAATGCACTTGATGCACCTAGTCACTTCTGTAGCCATCTCAGACAAGTCAGCTAGACAGGCTCTTTTATTACAAAGAGGATTCCCTCACTTCAGTATGCTGCAGAGAACAGCTTTAGGATAGGTTAACATCAAACCCAGATAGCCTGAGAATGCTACAGTCCACCCATTGCTGTCATTCAGCACATACACCCCTAGTCACACACATTAGTAGAGATGGTCTGCAACATGGCTCTCCTCTAATTGTTCTCCTGGCCGTGTTAGTCTTTTGCCAAGTAATGCTAAATCAAATTCTCCTGCAACTTGCCTAGTCTGGGCCAGCTACATTTATCTACTGACCTGATGACTCTTCTTGAGAAGACTGGCTGTCAGACAATGGTTACCTAAAGCTAATGGGGACAGGAAGTGTGTGTGTCCTCTCCAAGCTGAGTAGCAGTCACCTATTTATGTAAGCAGGTGGATTTTTAAGCTAATTAAGCTGATCTCCTGAACAGTTCCTTACATTGACATTTCCTGTTCTAAATGAGGGACATATGTCAAACATGTTGCAGCATGCACTGAGACACACAGTCATCTTAAAAGGTGGAGCAGGAGTGGCAAAATTAAGCTTTCAGGAAGTAATCTCACCTGAGGAAAGAGGCCACCATGTCTGCTGTTGAACCAAATGCTTTCTTGCTGCAACATT